GGACGTCGCGGTAAAGCGACTGGAACTGGATCAGCAGGTTGAGGTGCAGCCACTCCACCCGCTCGGCGTCCGACGCGCTGTCGCTCGGGTACTGCATCGCCTGCTGCATCGAGTCGGCCGGCTCCACGCTGCCGACGGCGCCGACGCTGCGCACGTACTGCGCCACCTGCGCCGCGTGCAGCAGCAGCGGCTGGAAGAAGAGCACGCGTGCGGCGTGCGCAATCTGGAGCAGGAACTGCTGCAGGTCGGGCCCGGCCTTCCCGGCGGCCTGCGCCGCCCCCTGCTGGACCCGCTGCAGCCACACCTGCGCGGAAGGGGGCGGAAGGGCGGACGAGGGTCGGACGCCGGCGCGGGCGAGGCGCGGCCGGCGCGGCGGCGGCGCGCCATGAGCTGCACGTGCTGCAACGCAAAGAGCTCAAACTTTGAGCGCGAGAAGAAGGGGCTCTGCAGGTAGCCGCCGAGACCCGACTGCTCGTGCAGCACGTTGAGCTGGTTCGAGAGCACGTTGAGGTGCTGGTGGAAGTTATTTAGGTCGCCGTAGCTCGGAGGCCCGCCGTGCATCCGCAGCGGCCCTATGGCAGGTCCGGAGCAAGTTCGGGCTCTTGTCGCGGAGAGCAGAGGCCTCTCCTCCAGAGCGCGCCGTCGAGCTGGGCGAGCTGGAGGAGCATGTGGACCACCGCGCTGATCTGGGTCCCCTCGCCCACGGTCAGCAGCATCTCGAGCGCGTGCCGCAGCTGCATCGCCTCCATCGGCGCGCTCTGCTCCACGAGCAGCGCTGCGGCGGCGCGGGCGGCGGTGGTCAGCGCGGTGGCGAGCCGGAGGTGCGCGGGCCGGGTGGCGCACACCTTCAGTGGCGTCGGCGAGAGGCAGCGGGTCCTCCTCGGCGGCAACCCCTGCCGCCGCGTCCACCAGGCAGCTCCGCAGGCCCTCCTGCGTGAAGGCCGCGTCGGGGACGACGAGGCAGCCTGCCTGCACCCTCAGCGCAGAGGCGAGCGGCTGCAGCGGCGTGCCTGCGCGAAGAAGGCGCGCCGCGTGACTGGGCGGCGCGATCGGGCCTCGCGCGCGCTCGGAGCGTGTTCAGTGCTACAGAGCATGCTCGCAGAGAGGTTTTGCCCGTGCCTGCGAGCGCAGCAAAGGCGGAGCCTCCGCCGTCCACCGCGTCGACGAGCGCCTGCAGCATGGCCTGCTTCTGCGCCGGCGGGTGCTGCACGCTCAGCTGGATCAGCTGCTGGAGCTGGTCGCGAGAGATCTGCATCCCTCAGCGCGGCGCCGCCAGACAACCACCCTCGACGTCTTTGGGTTGGGCTCCTGGCCGTGAGGGGATGCTGGGCAGCATTTGGATTGGCATGCGTCAGCACCAGGCCACTGGCCTCCAGCAAGCTGAGCCCCCCCTCCAACGTCCAAGCCTCCACACCGACTGCCATTCCCCCTCCCGTACCCGAGACGCAAGGGGAAGAAAAATTCGACCCGTGGTTGATTTGTTCGCCTTTGTGTTTGTTTCCACACCGAGTGGCAGCTGTCACCCCCCCCCCCCTCTCCCAGTACCCGAGACACACCTAACGTAATGAACACACAACATGTGGCTCGCCGACAGCTAACCAACACAGTCCCGAGAGTATGGGGCGCGGCGCGGCGGATGCAAAAGTCAGCCCGAGCGCAGGGGCGTAGCTGTCCGGGCGTAAAAAAAAAACTTGCGCGCGTCCGCAGGTACAGTGATTTCTTCTTGGGGGTTCGATTTCATTCGCGCAGTGCCTCCCTTCGGTCGGCGCGGTACCCACACTCGTCCGAGTCTAGGCCCCATGGCGTCCATGCACCATGGCGGCGGGCGCCTGATTCCTCTTTTGACGTGTGATGTGTGAGAGAGTTTTTTCACAACCAACAAGAAATCTTACACTCACAGTGATCTCACAAACAACATAATGTGATCTCTCTCTCTCTCTCTCTCTCTCTCTCTCTCTCTCTCTCTCTCTCTCTCTCTCTCTCTCTCTCTCTCTCTCTCTCTCTCTCTCTCTCTCTCTCTCTCTCTTGTGGTAGACGGCAACGGCTCTCTCCCACTCTCCCCGCATTTCCGATTCGCGTTGCCTTGCCCCCTCAAAATAACCTTCTCTCTGCGTGACTGCGCCTCGTTTTTTTCGCACAAAAACAACGCCGGTCGTCGACGAGCGCCTGCTTGGCCTGCTTCTGGTTCTGCCCGCCGGCGGGTGCTGCACGCTCAGCTGGATGAGCTGCTGCGGTGCTGGAGCTGGTCGCGAGAGATCTGCATCCCTCAGCGCGGCAGGCCGGCTCGCGTAGCGCCGGGCCTGGGGGCGAGTCAGCTTGAAGAAGAAAAAAGTGGTGCGGCAGCTGCAAGTTACTGATTGCACTCCAAGTGCTCCAAGTGCTGCAAGTGCTCCAAGTGCCCCAAGCTGTCTTCCTTCTCCTCGTTTGGTGTGCTCGTTTTTTAAGTTTAAGTATATTGTTGGCAAATCAAGACACAGAGCTCACACAGTACACAGAATTTTTTAAGTGTATGTAGCTCTTACGTACTCGTACATTCCCGGAGGAGGACTGCTGACGGGGTTTGCGATGAGGAGCGATCCGAAGCAACGTGTTTTTTGAAACCCATTTTTTAATTAACTCAGCTATTCGGCCTACAGTTGTAATGGGGTTTGCGCTTTTGCCGTCCCTGCACGACGACGTGACTTGGACCATGGCTGGGGCTGCAGAAGCAGCGTATCTCGGTCGTTCTTCACACGGCCATCGCGAGAGCAGATTGTGAATGAGCTTGCCTGTGTGGCGGGCGGGGGCGGGCGAGTGCACGGAGCTAAGTGCCTCGCCGCCCTCGCGGGAGTCGCTTACTTAGGCGGCTCCCGCGGTGTACCTGTGTTAGTGCCCGTGCGCGTCAGTCCCCCGTGCCCAGTGTCGTGCGAGAGAGTTTTGAGTAAATTAGGTAGGTAGAAAGGTGAAGAACAGCCAGGCTCGGACTGGACACCAACGCGGTATGGTGGACGCTAGACAGATGATGACGACACGCACGAGCGAGCGACACACAGACACAAACAGGCTCACAAGACACACAGCCAGCTAGCTGGCTGCCACACATACACATAACTCAAGGCCACATCCTCCCTGTCGCCCCCCCCAGCACTCCAAGGTGCCGAGAGAACAAACAAGGTAAATTCTGCTGCAAAGAAAAATGCCGGTCGGACGAGCGCTTCGCACTGACGGAGGGCGCCTGGGTCTAAATTTAGTGCGGTGTGAAGTGTTTATGTACTGCATCTTTAGTGCACTTTGGCGCAAATTTAGCGCGAATTCAGCGCAAATTTAGCGCGAGTTCACTGCGACTTTACATCCAGATTTAGCGAGGTTTAGTGCGTCTTTAGTCCAGCCGCGCACTAGGATCCAGCCGCAGCCCCTCGCTGGGCCTCCCTCCCCCTCTCCCCCTGCAGTCCCCTGTGTGAGTGAGTATTCTTGATACGAAACCACGCGACGACACACACCAGTCGACTCGCATCGGTTGCCTCCATGAACGGCGGAGCTATTCTCGCGCCCACACCACACCTGGCTCCAACGTGGACACGCCCATAGCTGGGGACACTACTAGGTCACGCATGGCATCACAGAAGTTTTATCTCTGGGCCCCGAAAGGCATCTCTAGCAGTGTCGTTACACATGCCCCCTCCCCTCCTGGGCGCATGCGCCTCACGTCTCGCCAGAGCATAAGCCCTTGGCGTGTGGCACACACACACACACACACTGCAGTCCCCTGCCCACTCTCGCAAAAGTTCCCCGCCCCGTCCCCAACCGCGAACGAAGGTTTTTCAGCTGAATATCAACCTCCGGTGCTTTCCGGGCTGCTTCTCCGGGCTGGATCCTTCATCCTTTGGTTCAACATTGGTTTTGAAATTCCCCGACCCTCACCTCTACTCTATTACAGCTGGTGGTCATGGGCACAAGTGACAAGACAACACGGGTTGTGCGGTCGGAGGTGGTTGGTGCTTTTGCGGTGGCGCATTCAACTATGCTGGTCCTCCTCTCGGGAATCGGTGCTGTGCCTGTGCTCAGTCGGAAGATCTTGCTCTGGAGGGCTGCATGCATCTAGCCTCACTGGGAGCCTGCCTTTGGGTCATGAGGCTTGAGGGCAGGGGCCAGGCATCTCCTGTGGTGCATTCTTGGCAGCCCAGGAGCAAAGCACGCGGCCCTGGCTAGCTGTGGTATGGCCGGGAGGCCGTGCTAAAGGTGCGTGCCCGCACTAAAGATGCGGGACCCACACTAAATGTACTGCAGCTGCCCGCACCTAAAGTGAACTAAATGTGGCGCTAAATTGGAGATAAAACATGCTAAATATGTGCTAAATTTGTGCTAAATTTGCGCTAAAGACGCACTACACACGCACTCGAACACACACTAAATAGCGCACTACATAAACTATCACTAAAGTTCATTCACACACACTAAATTTAAAGACCCAGGCGCCCTCCACTGACCTTTCGCATTGACCCAAGCGCCGGCGATCCGACGCCACCGGAAAATGCGCGGCGAGGTCGTCGCGCACGACTCGGGCAGGAGCCAGAGTGGCCGGTCGTCGTCGTCCCTGCCGCGGCGCCACGAGCCGTACACGCAAGCCACGGCGCTCTGGCAGATACTCGCACGCATTGGCGACGAGGTGCTGGCCGGCTTCGAGCAGCGACACGCGGCGGTTACCGAGTTCGACACGAGGGCGCTGAGGTTTTTGAGCTCGCGTGGCGACGACGAGCGCGATCCCGCGCCCGCGGCATGTAATAGGGGGCTCGCCGCCGAGGTCCTGGCTGCGCTGCCGAGGGAGGTGCTCGCCACCAACTCGATGGAGCGTGGGCCCTGTCCAATCTGCTTGGACGGATATGCGCCGGGCGACGAGATCGTGCGCATGCCGTGTGCGCACACAGCGCACTGGAGGTGCGGAGCTAAGTGGTTGTCTGGCGCAAGGACTTGTCCGACGTGCCGCTTCGAGATAAGTAGCTGAGAGCGTGTTATGTCTGATTGTTTTTCCTGATAAATGATGTGTGTGTGTATCATGGGATCCTGTGCATTCTGCTCGCGCACGAGCAAATCCAGAAGGCTGTCTTGAGCTCCTCTCTCTACAACAGCTCTCTCACACCGGCCAGCCCTGCTCGTCCTGCGCCTCGCGGGCGAGCAGGGCAGCGCGCTCGGGGTGGGCGGTGAGCAGGCCAATCTTCTTGCCGTCCTTGAGCTGGCCGACGCGGCCTCCGCGCTTGGCGACGTGCCTGAGACGGGCACAGAGATCCGCGTGGGAGAGCGCGCGGGCTGTGGAGGGGGGGGGTGACTCGCTTTCGTGGGCGGGGCGGGGCGGGGCGGGGGGCGGAGGAGGAGGCGCCTCGAGTCGGTGTACATCACCTCGACCTCGCCGTGCCTCCGCAGCGGGGAAAAGTACGCCGCGAGGTCGGCGGCGGCCTGCAGCGGTGGGGGTGTCAGCGACGCGCGCGGGAGCACGCCGCGTGGGCGTCTGCGGCGGCCTCCATGCACTCGCGGTGGCTCCTCGTCAGGTCGCGCCGCATCGAGGTTCGGAGGAGGACGCGCGAGCCGCGAGAGGCGCGCACCTGGAACCACAGGTCCGCGCCTAGGGGAAACAGTAAAGGCAAACGTCTCCGCACACACACGAGATGGCAAGGGCTAGGCAGCCCCTCGCATCTCCACATCCTGCGAGACGGGCACTGCGAGGCCCAGTGCACGCACGTGAGCAGTGTGCCCGGTGCGTTGGAGCGTGCGCCCGCCTCGTGCGACGCGGCGCAGCAGCGGGTCCGCGAAGCTCTGCCGCCCGATGAGGATTGGCACGCCGCGAGGCGAATCGACGACCAGCCCATCAAACCTGGAGGCAGGCTCCGAGACGCTTCCGAGCGGAGCGACGGGCGGGAGGGTTCGGACACAACTCACCCGGCAGGGCGACCCCACTGATCCATCGCAGCTCGGTCGACGTCGTAGAGCTCGAGCCGCTGCTCGAGTCCTAGCTCCTCCATGGCTCGCCGGAGCGCCGGCAGGTCGGGACGGCGCTCGTACAGCCGCGCATGCAGGTCGCTCAGTGCAGCCTCGGCTGCGTCGCATTCCCTCAAGAGCAGCGGGAGCGCCTCTGCTCTCGCGACCGCCTTTGCGCGCGCCTTGGCCTCGGAGGGCAGCTGGGACCGCTCCAGTGCTCCCGACTGCTCGGTGAGCGCAAAGCGCTTGCGCCGCTGCTTCTCGAGCGCCTCGGCGAGGACGCCACGGAGCAGCCGGCGCTCGCAGCCGGCGTCGCGCACGGCGGCTGCGGAGAGCGGCCGCGCGCGTCTCGCCAGCGTCGGCAGGGCGCACGGTTGCCTCGGCAGCGAAAAGGAGAGAAGTAGCATAGGCTTCAGCCGCTTACTCCGCCCTCCTCCTCGGCCCGCCCCTCCACCGCCGGCCTCCTCCCGCACCGGCTCCTCGGCAGGCGAGCTCCTCTCCGGTAACTCGACCAGCAGGCGAGGGTCTTCGAGGTGCACCACTCACCTCTCGCAGCAAATCGGCAGGAGATTTCCGGGATGATCACGCCCCCCTTTGGTGTTGGATCCTGACAGGATAGCGCAGATCAGATCCCCTATCCGGCAGGAGCCCGAACCTGAATCCGCTCGCCTTTCAGAGTGCTCGCGACGTGGGGATGTGTAGAGCGACGGTGCATAGTAAAGAAAGAAAGAGAAGAAGCGACACAACGGAGACGGAGGGATGGATGGGTGGGAGAACACGCCGAAAATAGTTTTCCCCGGCCGCGCGCAGCGCTAATCGGGCGTCCTTTGCTCCTCCGCGAGTGATCGGGGCTGCAAAAAGGCCGGCTCGCACTACATTTATATGATTTTGTTTTACGTACTTTTACGATTTACCTTACAAAAGAGGGCCGGCTTCACACTTCTCAAGAACCACCTTAAAAAGGATTGAAAAAAGAGCTACATCGGAACACGGGGATGGGACTGGCGTTGGCCGACAAACACAGGTACACCACGGGAGCCGCCCTACGGGAGTCAGTGTGCACAGTACTAGCCCAACAGCCCCTGCAGGTAGGTGTGCCTCTCATTGGCCGTCGCGAAGCCGTCCCACTCGTAGAATGGAACGCTGGTCACCCTCCAGCCAGCCGCCGCGAGGAGGCGCCGCTTGAGCAGCGTTGGCCCATTGGATTTGCGCACGCCCCGGCCGTCGGGCAGCAGGAAGTGAGTCGGGCCGTCCACCTCGACCGCGACGCGTGACGAGGGCAGCGCCAGGTCGAGCGAGTAGCCGGTGCGCGGCTCGAGATGCTCCTCCTCGAAGCCGTGCTGGATGGCGGCGAGGGCAGCCGCGACGGAGCGCTGCAAGCCTGACGGCCGAGCTATGGTCGCCACCATAGCGTCGCGACAGAGCTTGCGCTGGGACTCGGAGAGGAGGTGCTGCTGCGCGTCTGCTCCTCGCTCCAGGGCGAGCCAGAGCTGACACTGGTGAAGCTGACGGCGGTCCTCCTCGCTCCACCTCGACGGATCCCGCGCGAGTGAGTCGCTGATCACGCGCGAGCAGTCGGCAAGCAGCGCCTGGTGATAACAGTCTGCCGCCGCATACGCCCACACCGTGTTGGCCAGGTTCTGAGGGGTGAAGCCAGCCAGCCCGCCGCGCACCGCCGCCTCCGCCACCGCCGCGTACAGCGCATCCGCAGCCACGCCCGCCGTCGCGTACGCCCACACCGTGTTGGCCAGGTTCTGAGGGGTGAAGCCAGCCAGCCCGCTCCGCACCGCCGCCTCCGCCACCGCCGCGTACAGCGTATCCGCAGCCACGCCCGCCGTCGCGTACGCCCACACCGTGTTGGCCAGGTTCTGAGGGGTGAAGCCAGCCAGCCCGCTCCGCACCGCCGCCTGCGCCACCGCCGCGTACAGCGCGTCCGCAGCCACGCCCGCCGTCGCATACGCCCACACCGTGTTGGCCAGGTCCTGAGGGTTGAAGCCAGCCAGCCCGCCGTGCACCGCCGCCTCCGCCACCGCCGCGTACAGCGCGTCCGCAGCCACGCCCGCCGTCGCATACGCCCACACCGTGTTGGCCAGCTCCTGCGGCTTGAAGCCAGCCAGCCCGCTGCGCACCGCCGCCTGTGCCACCGCCGCGTACAGCGCGTCCGCAGCCACGCCCGCCGTCGCATACGCCCACACCGTGTTGGCCAGCTCCTGCGGCTTGAAGCCAGCCAGCCCGCTCCGCACCGCCGCCTCCGCCACCGCCGCGTACAGCGCGTCCGCAGCCACGCCCGCCGTCGCATACGCCCACACCGTGTTGGCCAGCTCCTGCGGCTTGAAGCCAGCCAGCCCGCTCCGCACCGCCGCCTCCGCCACCGCCGCGTACAGCGCGTCCGCAGCCACGCCCGCCGTCGCATACGCCCACACCGTGTTGGCCAGCTCCTGCGGCTTGAAGCCAGCCAGCCCGCTCCGCACCGCCGCCTGCGCCACCGCCGCGCACAGCGCGTCCGCAGCCACGCCCGCCGTCGCATACGCCCACACCGTGTTGGCCAGATCCTGCGGCTTGAAGCCAGCCAGCCCGCCGCGCACCGCCGCATCCGCCACCGCCGCGTACAGCGCGTCCGCAGCCACGCCCGCCGTCGCATACGCCCACACCGTGTTGGCCAGGTTCTGAGGAATGAAGCCAGCCAGCCTGCTGCGCACCGCCGCCTCCGCCACCGCCGCGTACAGCGCGTCCGCAGCCACGCCCGCCGTCGCGTACGCCAACACCGTGTTGGCCAGCTCCTGCGGCTTGAAGCCAGCCAGCCCGCCACGCACCGCCGCCTCCGCCACCGCTACGAACAACGGGTGCACCACCCTCGCTTGCAGGCCGCACTTTGCCACGCCGTGAGCGACGTTCGCCAGTGCTCGCGCATCGCACGAGGAGACGAGGTCGAGCGTGCGCTGCACCAGCTGCTCAAGCCGCCCCTCGTGCCGCCGCTCGATGCGCTGCTTGCCCAGTTTGTTCCACAGGTTCGCAGCGTGGATGTGGTCCAAGCTCGCGCTGTGGGCATCAAAGAGCGTGAGCAGTGCGTCAGTGCTGCCAGCATTTGAGATGTGGCTGTTGAGCTGCTTTGCGTTGAGCTGACCACCGGCAGCAGAGGTGTGCCTCTCTTCGCGCGATCCCGCACCACGCATCGGCGGACTCAACCGGCGGTCGCTGTGCTGAGGCTGCCCCTCGCCGCGGCGGTCGCGCCGGTCATGGTTGCGCCTGGGATCGTGGGACCGATCATCGCGCCGATCGTACAAGTCGCGCTCGCGCTCGCCTATGCTTGGTCGGTCGTTGCAGCCGCGCCGCTCACTGTGCCGCCCGTCATGATGCGGCCGTCGCTCGCCTCGCAATGGCTCATCGCGCCATCGCTCAGCGGGCCATTGTGGCTCAGCGTGCCGTCGCTGCTCGCGTCCACTGCACCAAGAGCCGTTGTCGCCGCGCCGCTCGTCATGCCGCACGTCATGGTGCCGCCAACGCTCGCCTCGCCGTCGCAGCTCATCCCGCCGCGGCTCATCGCGCGATCGCGACCGCCGTCGCGAACCGCCCCGCCATCGCCGCTCTTCGCGTCCGTACTCGTCGCGCCGTTGCTCATCACGCCAGCGACGCTCCTCGCTCAGATGGGACATCTTTGACACTTCCGGACCCCGTGTGGCCAACTATACGGCGTCTGTTCACGTAAACGCAAAGAACACAACCGCACGCCTACAGCAATGAAGCGTAGCTCCTTCCCGAGGCTGTTCCCTCACTATCTTTCTCGCGAGACGTTTTATCAAGTTATTTATCACGGGTGTCCGCGGCCATTTTGTGCCCGCTGGTAGTGACCGCCGCAAACGCCCTGTGGTCAGCACTTGGAGAGTTGGAGTGCAGTCAGCAACCTCACACCAAGGGCCGGGGAGCTCAGATGCGTACCCATCGGGCCGGATGCTCCGCATCCGGGGACGGGCTGCGGGCTAGAGCGCCCTGTGACCCTCAGCTCCATATTCTGCGCTTGCCAGCGGCGCTGCCGGGACTGGGCTCTGGGGCTCCACTCGAGGTCATGTCCACACATAGATTCCAACAAGACAAGCCGCGGGTGCGGGCGTCTCTACCTTGTCGGACACGGCTGTAGACTATAGTAATTCGGCCGTCCGCGAGCCCCTTAGCTCGCCGACGGCGAGCGAGGGAGATCCTGGGTTCGAATCTGAGGACCTGGGTTCGAATCGCCGTTGGCGCATAGGGTAGATAAAAATCTTCGTTCCCAGACGCTATTTATTCACAGGCGCGCGGGATGCGTCGGGTGTGAATGGACATTCTTGCCCTGAGTGAGAACGAACGAGCAGCGTCCCATGGAAGAGCACAAAAATCTCTCCTCTCTCTCTCTGGAAGAGAAGAAAATCTCTCTCTCTCTGGACGCGGCGGCCTGGACGGCTCCAGACGATCTCGAGCTCTATGCTCGCCTTTCAGAGAGAGCGCTCGCGAGCGGCCGCGAGCCCGCAACGTGGGGATGTGAAAAAGAAAGAAAAAACAAAACACGCAACCCAAGGGAGGGATGGGAGGACGGCACGCCGCCACCACACAGGGATTTTAATAATGGGGATGTGAAAGAAACAACTGCTCGGTTTTTTTTTCTCGCAGGTTTTCGCCTTTCGGACCGATGTTTCCACAACGCAGCCGGACGCAGTGACGGACCGAGTGACGTCAGGCGCGGCCATTATGCAGGATGACGTCGTCATATCTCAGGCTATGTTGGACGACGCGCTCGACGTCATCCTCCCGCTGGAGGAAGGCGGAGTGGACGCGCTCGGCCCAGTGTCGCCGGCGTGCGGAGGCGGCTGCTGGGGGCCGCTGCTCGGCGAGACTGCTCCCTGCTCGTTTGATTTCCAGCGGCCGCAGAATCCGGGCCACTTCAAGAACAAGTTTTGCCCCGCCTGCCGCGCCGGCGGGATTCTGCTTCCCGTGTCACGCGTGCGCGCGCTGGCCGCGGAGCAAGTCGCGGTGCTCAAGAATGGCAAGGGGGAGGGGGTGTGGAGCAGCGACCTGGCGCTCGGGCCCGCGCGCTTCCGGCTGTGCAACCACACCGCAAAGTGCAGCGGTCCGCCCCTCCTCCTCCTCCGTGACCCTGACCTCGACCCCGCGCTCGGCGCGTTTGCCGCTCTGCCGTCCCACTGGACTGAAGGCGCTCTCCCGCAGACACCTCCGAGACACCTCCTGCGCACTCCGCGCCACCCACCGAGGAGCTTCCTACGCACTGCTGGGTCACTGCCCCGACGCCATCCAGACGCTACCAACACCCTACCAAGCCACTGCCCCGCAGGCGGCACGCTGCTGCTGCGCGTCTCGAAAGGAACGCTCGTGCCCGCCGCGGCGCTGCAGCTCAAGGCGGACGACGCGCGGCGCGCCGCCGCCGCGGCCGCCACGGCTCCCTTTCCCCCCTCCTCCGCCTCCGCCTCCGCCTCCGCCGCCTCTGCGCCCGCCGCGCCGTGGGCGCCTCTGTCGGTAGTCGGCTCGAAGCGGCTGCGGCCGCTGGACGCGTCTTGCTCCGCCTCCGCCTCCGCCTCGGTCACAAGCGAGAGCGGCGACGGCGTCACCACCGCCGGCTGCGTCGACGAGGCCGAGTTCCTCCGCTCCGTCGTCACGGCGCAGGCCGCAGTGCGCACCGCCATCGAGGCTCGCGCCGCGTCGGGCCCGATCTCCGCGAGCGTCGCCTCTGCCATCCTCGAGCTGCTCCGCTGCACGTCCGAGCTGGTCGCGGCGCAGAGCGACCTTGCGCTCGATGGCGCCGTCGCATACCGCGGCTGGCCGCGACGGCGCAGCAAGAGCGGCGGCAGCAAGAGCGGCGGCGAGGCTTTCACGCCGCTGTCCGAGGTTGGCGAGGAGAAGGAGGAGGCGGAGGAGAAGACTGACGGGGACACCGACTCGGACGACTCTGCCGACACGAGCCGCACCGGAGACACTCGCGAGACAAACAGCGTCCCCATCCGCTCGGGCCTCGCGGCGCGGCGCGAGGAGGCGCGGGGGACTCTCGCGACGCCATTCTCGTACGCCTCGCTCGCGCGCGCCGTCGACAGCCGCGGCTCGTCAAACAGCCTCCTCAGCAACAGCGAGAGCTCACGCGCGCGCAGCAGCGGCCGCACGCCGCGCGAGGGCAGCCGCGGCCGATCCACCACCAGCCGGCGGGAGATCGGCGCGTTGCCCGGCGTGTCGGAGTCGGTCTCGCGGCTGGTGCGTCGCACGCTTGTGCGCGTGGGCCCGGTGACGGGTCGCTTCTACGGCTCGAAGCTGGCCAAGCAGGCCGAGAAGGCGTTCGAGCGCTACTCGACCGAGTACCACCTGCAGCAGGTGAGGCTCCGCCTCGTGCTCTGCGCGGTGGCGGTGCCGCTCATCCTGCTCGCTAACACAAACACGCACCAGGGCAGCACGCACGCGGCGCTCGCGCGGCTACTCATCGCGATGCTCGCGCCGCCCACGCTCCTCCTCACCGCCGCCCTGCTCAGCTGGTTCCGCCCGACGCGCCGTTGGTGGGCTCTCCCTCCCTCCCTCCCTCCCTCCCACTCTCCCTCCCTCTACCCCTCTCTCTCTTTCTCTCACCGCTTCTCCCCTCCGTGTCGCTCTCCTCTCGTTTTCCCCCTCTCCCGCCCCCCTCTTCTCCCTTGCGCTGCGTGTGGCAGCCTCCCCTGACCGGCCGCCCGCCGCGCGCAGGTGGCGATTCCACGTCGTCGCGGCGCTCGTCCTCTCGTACAACGCAGTGGTGTGGTCGGACGCGCTGCTCGACTTCAGCACCTGGTCGTCGCACGACAAGGAGTACCACACCACTTGGCAGCTCAACTGGCTCATGCTGTCGCTCGCGGGCTCGGGCTTCCTCTTCTCGCTCGACCTCACCTGGGCCGCGCCGCTGCTGCTCGCAATCTACTGCACCTACCTCGCCGCGACCATCTCCCTCTACGCCCTCTGGTGGAACGACTCGGAGCAGGGGGGATGGACGTGGGAGGTGGCGCGGACGGCGATGCAGGACCCGGGCGAGGCGGTCGTACAGCAGGCTCCGCCCCCTCCCCGCCCCCTCCCCGCCCCCTCCCCGCCCCCTCCCCGCCCGCCTCTCGCTCGCTCCCGCCGCCGCCGCCGCCCCTCCCCCGCCTCTCCCCCGCCTCACGCCTCCTTCCCAGGATCACAGTACTCCCAGTGCGAGTGGCTCGACGACATGGTGGGCCGCGTCGACCTCGAGAAGATTGCGCGCAACGACGACGAGCGCGACCTCGTCGTCCAGATCCAGCAGACGCGTGGTCGCGAGGGGAGCACGTACCGGCCATTTGAGCTCGTCGGCCCCCAGCTTCCTCTCTCTTGACCCACGGCGTCTCTGCTGTAGGTACGGGCCGCCGCAGGGAGCGAGCCAGTGCGCGCCGGATAGATGGATAGGGGCGAATCAATAGTGAGGCCAACCACGGGACACCGGCAGGGCGAGAGGGAAAGCCACACGCGGGTGTGCCGCACAGACGCGAACACGACGCTTGGCCAGCTGGGCTATCGCACGTCCTGAGGGCGGCCAGCTCTCGCACGCCGCGAGGTGTGTGCTTCTCTCTCTTCATACGAGTGCTGGTGTCCAAAGGTGCGGCAGGGTTACTTCCTAGACACTTCCTAGACACTTCCTTGTTCGCACCACAGGTGCGGCGGGTTCTCGCAGGACCTCCTCTTCGCCTGCACCTCCGCGCTCGGCTTCGGCGGCAACAAGGAGGCGCGAGAGGCTGCGCGCGACTCTGGCCAGCTCGGCCTCTGCATCGACGCACTCGGCGAGGCAAACATCACGATCGCGAACCCGCTCGGGCTGCTCGCGCCGGGCGGCAATGGCGGCAGCCCCGGCGGAGGCAACGGCGGCAGCCCTGGGGGCAGCCCAGGCGGCGGCAGTGGCCCTAGCTCAGGGAGCGGCAGCTCGCCGCCGGGAGGAGGCTCTAGCGGCAGCTCGCCGCCGGGAGGAGGCTCTAGCGGCGGATCGCCGCCGGGAGGAGGCTCTAGCGGCGGATCGCCGCCGGGAGGAGGCTCTAGCGGCAGCTCGCCGCCGGGAGGAGGCTCTAGCGGCAGCGCGCCGCCGGGAGGAGGCTCTAGCGGCAGCTCGCCGCCGGGAGGAGGCTCTAGCGGCGGATCGCCGCCGGGAGGAGGCTCTAGCGGCGGATCGCCGCCGGGAGGAGGCTCTAGCGGCAGCTCGCCGCCGGGAGGAGGCTCTAGCGGCAGCTCGCCGCCGGGAGGAGGCTCTAGCGGCGGATCGCCGCCGGGAGGAGGCTCTAGCGGCGGATCGCCGCCGGGAGGAGGCTCTAGCGGCAGCTCGCCGCCGGGAGGAGGCTCTAGCGGCAGCTCGCCGCCGGGAGGAGGCTCTAGCGGCAGCTCGCCGCCGGGAGGAGGCTCTAGCCAGGGGAGCGGCGCTGGCAGCCCGCCTCAAGGCAGCACGGGGGGCGGCAATGGTGGCAACCCAAACCCGCCTCAGGGCAACGGCGGCCAGCAACCGCCGGGCGGCAACGGCGGCCAGCAACCGCAGGGCGGCAACGGCGGCCCACGCTCGCGCCGACGACTCGACGAGACGCCGCCCGTTGCGCCGCCGCAGCTGCCTTTGCCACCGCAGCTGCCTTTGCCGCCGCAGCTGCCGCCGCCGCTCTCGCCAGTGTATAACCTGACGCTGATCGCGTCGCCGGCGCTCGGCGCGGCTCACTCGCGGACGACGATCGACTGCCTCGTGCTCTCCTTGCTCGCGCTGCTCATCTTCTTCGCCGCGGCGCGCATCCTCTCGCGCTTTGAGCGGCTCTCCTTCCTCAACACCTTCTTGCTGCAGGCCGCACACCAGCTGCCGCACACCCCCTGACCTCTGCAGAGACCCGAGAGTTGAGAGCCAGTGCTCCATTTTCAGCGCCCTGCTGGCGCAGCCTCCCCCCTTGCTCCGTCTGCAGGCCAAGATCGTCGAGCAGGCGGAGCAGCTGTCGGGCGAGCAGATCGAGCTGCTCGCTGTCTTCTCCAACCCGACCACCATGATGGTGTCGAGCTCGCACGTGGAGAGAATCGAGCCGCTCAAGGCGCCCTGGGCCATCGGGAGACGCATGCGACACGTCTCACGCGCGCCTCCCTTCCGACACACCCTCGCGGTGACTCACATCGGACGGCCCCCACGCCTCTGCGACGCCTCCGAGACACCCCTGACGCCTCCGCGCCTCAGCACCGCACACCCTTGGCAGGTTGGCCAGGAGCTCAAGTCCCTGTTTCGGCTAGTGCCGCCCGTGCACGTGCACATCGAGCCGGCCGACTCGACTCCGCCTCACGCACGGCTGGTTCAGGTAGCCTCCCGAAACTTCGCGCGGAGCATTCCGGTATAGGCCGCCTCGCTCGCCGACGTGCGGCAGGTGCTCTCGCGCCACTCGCCCTCGCTGCTCCTCTTCTCGGGGCACTCGTTCGTCGGTGCGGCCTCTGCCGTGGGCTGTGGGGGATGCCGTGCGGCTCCTCCACCCACCGGCCGGGCACGTTCCGCGTAGGCACGCTCGCGCTTGAGCTGCCATCGGGGCGCGTGCAGCTGCCTCCCTCCAAGCTGCTGATCGAGGAGCTCTCGCCAGAGCGAGCGAGCCGCCTCTCCGCCGTCGTGCTCAACGGCTGCGAGACGGTGTCGCTCGGCTTTGAGATTGTGCGCGCGCTGCCGCACTTGAGCGTCATTTGCTGGGTGAGAAGCCCTCCCCATCCCCGCGACCGCACATACACACACAATCCCCCACTCCCCTTCCCTCTCCCCTCCGCTATGCTGCAGGCGACCATCACGGAGGACTCGGCTGCGCGCGCCTTCTCGCAGGGCTTCTACGACGCCGTGGGCACCTCGCTCCTCTCACGCGAGAAGGAGCGCCACACGGCCGCCTCCCTCCGCCCATGCCCCCCCGACACCCTCCAAGCCGCCAGAGGGCGCGCCAGTTGGCAGCACACCCAGACCCAACCCCCTTCCACGCCCTGCACCCTCCCTAGCGCCCGCCAAGCGCCCACGTGACACGTCCACGACAGGTCCACGACACGCCCCGCAGGTCGACCTCGACCTCGCCTTCGAGTCCGGCCTCGAGGCCTTTGTCGAGGCTGGCTTCGCGTCGGGCGACCCGGCCGCCTTCCTGCACGACGAGCTACACCCGCACAGGCGCTTCCCCGTCTTTTCGGGCTGCTACGGCTGCTGCCCGCCTGTGCACGGCGTCGTCCTCATGCTGCGGAGCGTGGGCGGCCGCGTCGAAGCCAAGGCGATGCCCGAACGCCCCCCCCCCCCTCCACGCCACCACCACCCACCGCTCACGCGGCGCACCGCTGTTCACAGGCACCCTCCCTCGCGCTGCGCGGCAGCCGCTGGCAACGGCAGGTCGTGTGCGGGGACTGGTTCCCCGTAGAGGAGCCTTCGGACTTGGTGGACTACGCAGCGCGCTACGCGGCCAGCCACCGCGAAGCCGCTTCGGCGCCGGCGCCGGTCTGCCAGCCCGTCAAGGGCGGCGGCGCCGTGCATCGCGGCAAGGAGAGCGGTAAGGAGGCCGGCGTGTTGCTGGTGGGGGGCGATGAGCGGCCGGAGGAGACACCAGAGGTTGCCGGTGGCGATCGAGCCATGGTGGCCATCGAGATGGACACGCTGCCTGTCCGACACAAATTGTAAGCCAGTTCCACGACCTGAGCAATACGTTTGTGGGAGTTGCGTTCCCTCTAAAGGTATCAACCGCGTGGACCAAGGGTCCAAGGCCCACAGCAAGATAGGGAGTTACAGCTACAGGAACTGATGGACCTCTCTCCCAGCGGAGGATGGCAGCCAACTTTGGCGGACGGCATGCACTGGGGTGTTCATGGGGTCCCGTACCATGTGCGGAATCGACCCTATCCAGTGCTCAAGTGCTCAGTAGGGGGGGGGGGGGGGGCGGACCCCCCAGACGTTTCCTTTCGGACTGCCCCCGCCCGGGGCCAGGGCCATCAAAAACACAGCAATGGCGGCAGCGGCCACCCTCCCCGCCCCCCCCGACCCCACCGCAAGTTCGATCCGGCCCCTAGCTGCGCAGCTACGCAATGAGGGTCGCCACGAAGAGGCGCTGCGCACCATTGGCCGCCACCTGAGGGCCAGCAGCAGCTCTGCCAGTGCCCTCAACGCCGCAGCACGGCTCTGCAATGAGCTCGCGCTGTCGTCGATGCGCGAGGGCGAGGGCGAGGGCTACTCGCTCGACGCTGCCTTTGAGTATCTGCAGGTTTCGCTGGGCATGCGAGGCACTACGCGCGAGCTGCAGGCTGGCTCGCCAACACACCGCCATTTGCGTATATATATGCAGCGCACCCCGACCGCCCAACCCGCGCAGGCCGTCTCGCTCAACAACCTGTCGATCTTTTACTCGCGGACTGCGCAGCCGCAGCGCGCACTGCGCTGCCTCCTGCAGGCGAGTCGGCTCTAGCACCGCCTTGGAGGCGATACAATCACGCATCACGCCGAGCAGTTGCTGACATAAGCGAGGCATGGCCCGCCTTCCGCAGGCGCGCCGTCGGAGTGGCGCTCCCCGGCGGCGAGGGCCGAGGCGTGGCGCTGCTGAGGGCTCCGAGGACGACATCCGCGTGCACGTGGCGCTCAACCTGACGGCCGTGCTCGCCGACCTCGGGCGCCACCGTGAGGCGCTCGAGATGGCGCACGAGGCGGTGGAGGACCTGAGGCGCGACGCGGTGGAGCGCGGGGAGGCGCCGCAGGCGTCGCTGCTGTCTGCCGCCTATCACAACCTCGCGGTGCAGCAGGAGCGGAGCTAGCATGGGTTGAAGAGATGGCTTGCCCCCAGCGGACGGTAGCCATTAGAAGCCCGCAGCGCCCCAACAATCGGGAAAGGCCTCCCTCCCCCGGTCCCTGCGCTGGCGGCCGCCGCTCTGTCCTACAGCTTCCCACGATTTTGCGCCCAGGAGAGGCTAGGCGCCGCACGCGGCCACGTCCTCTCGTACCGTGCTGCCATCCAAGCCGCTCGGCGCTGCGGGGAGGAGCCACACCGTGGCGGCGGCCCACCTCTGATAACCTCGAGGCCTCTCACAGCTCGCCGCTGTGGACAGGACGGCAAGTCGATGGCCGCCTACCTGGGAGACGCGCTGGAACAAGCGGAGGAAACGGGTCGAGGATCTGCGGCGCCTCGACCGCAGTCTGCTGCGGCGCGTCGACGGCCCGCAGCGAGCGTGGCCACGCGACCAGCCAGCGGGGCAGCCATCCTCCCGCCGCCCCGCACCCGCCCCGCTACGGCGCAGCCGGTGTCACGGTCTCGAATCCTGCCGGGGCCGGGTGCGGTGGTCGGCTGAGGGCTGAGGCGCCCGGCCTTTCGATGACGTAGAGAGTCGTAATAAGCGAGATGAGGGGCGCCTATGTGGCGGGGGGGAGCATGGTCCCATAAATGAATATATAGCCGACGAAGACCCGTAAATAAATAAAAAAGGGACACCTCTACTGTGAGAAACGGCGAAACGGGGCCATGTCCGACTCCGAGGCTTCCATGCCGGGCCTGGAGCCGTTCCACGTGCGTCAGATCCGGATGGTCGAGCGCGTCCTCGGCCAGAAGGTGTCGCCACGCGACCACGCGATGATTGATTGTCTCGCGGAGCGCATGGAGAGGTACGGTTGGCACTCCGTCAGCATCAACCCGGTGCCGCTTGGGTATCAGTACATCATCCAGGCCAAGTCTGAGAAGAGGCGGGAGGATGAGGCCAGGCAGCAGGCCGCGCAGGACGCTGCGCAGCCTCAGCCTACCGCCACTTTCGCCGCACCGCCCGTGGCACCGCCTGCCGCCGCTGCCGCTCCGGCCGCAGCATCGCAGGCACACTCGCAGCACCAACAGGCGCAGCAACCCCGGCCCAACGAGTCGCCCGAGGGGTGGACGAGGGTCGGGAAGGGCGGCAAGCCGGACAGGTTCACCATGAAGAACTTCGGCCGCAACCCGCCAAAGTCGGGCAAGCGGAAGCAGGAACACCGCAAGCCCGCACCCAAGGGAGGTGGACCCCCACCCCCTTCTCCCAAGGTGGTGGACAAGAACAGGCTGAGCGCATTGGGCGCTGGCCCTTCTGGCACCAGCGGGAGCACCGAGCGCGCACCGCCGCGCTCTCCCTCCCCCACCTCGCCGCCTGCCAAATCGCCGCGGCCGTCTGCGCCTGCTTCCGGGTATGACTCCGAGCTCGAATTTTCCGACGCTGAGGCGCGGGATAGGGTGGCAGGGGTTGTGCACGACGCAGTGCAGCAGGCTGTGATGCAATATGGCTATGACGACGAGCTCTACCAGGCATGGAGGGACGGCGAGATAGGCGAAAAGGACTTGCCGGAGGAGGTGATGGCTATGACTTTGGACCTTTGCGAGAGGTGGCGAGCGGAGCAAGCGCGGTGTAGGCGCGCCCACGCGGCGCAGCGGCTCTCCCGCGACCATAGCCCCTCCCGCAGCCGCAGCCGTAGCCGCAGCCCCAACTCTTGCTGCTCTTCTAGTGTCGGGTAGTGACCAGGGGGTGAGGGGACGGATTGAAGATCCCTCACACCAAGATCGTGCAGGGCGGGGACACATGTCCCTAAATCCCATCTCGTCTCAGAGTTTGACCGTTTTTATTTATTTGCAGATGGGTAAAAAGGAACAGGTCCCCGCGCCCGTGCGATCTGTGTGCAGGGTTCTTTGTACTTCGTGCAGCTCCACGGCGTATATTGGTGTTGTTTACTGGACGTCCCAGAGCGTCGCACGCGTACGCCGTGTGCTGTGCGCCGTCTGACCGTTGCAAGCGCTGCTCTCAAACCCCCTCGTAGAGCCCGTCAACACAAGAGTGAGCGCGCGCGTTCAAGCTCATCGAGGAGCGGCTCGCCAAGCTCTCCGCCGCGTACGCCGCGTGCGTGCGGCTTGCCATTCCCGGTGCCTCCGCCTTGAGCCGCTGCAGCCGAGTCAGACCGTACGCGCGCGCGCGCGCGCATGCAAAGCCATCAGGAGGCCTTTGGCAAAAAGACAAGCGCTCGCAGCGCTTGGGCCGCGGCCCGGACGACCGGGTTGCCTTGGTGAAGGTAGAAGGCTGCGTGCAACGCCGCCGGCGAGATGCCCTGCTCGCAGCACAGCCGTGGGATGCACCAGCCCTGCAGCCACCGCAGGAGCGCGCCGCTGCGCACATTTGCCAGCGTGGCGGGGGAGAGAGGAGCAGCGTGGTGCTCGCTGACCAGCACGGCAAACCTCTCAGCGTATGAGCAAGCAAACTCCGCCGCGCGAAGGCGAGAGCGTTCAGTAGCGAGATGAGCACTGGGAGGCGGGCGCCTCCGCCCGACAGGGCGAGCGAGCGAGCCGACTGGACGGTTTCCTGCGGCTTCGCGCTTTCGACGAGAGCCGCCCACCACTCGACGGGACTAGGCTCGACTGCATGCAGCGAAAAGCCGCCTCGCCCAACCTCATGCCGTGCCGCCGCCGCACTCGGCGGAGACGTCTCGCAGTCATATCCGCAGTGCTCGTGGCTCATCTCAAACACCATCGCCTCCTCCTCGGGTGGAGGAGCGTTGCGACGCATGGCCGGCGCGGCGCCCATCGGCAGCGAAGCTTTGAGCAACGAGTGGCGCTGGTCTCTGAGCAAAAGAGGCACCGAGTCGGTCACGAGCAGACGGTCAGTGGGCTGCGAGCGTGCTGAGGGATTGCCAGCGCGAATTTCTTTTTATTTTCTCGCACGGCTTCGGTGAGGGGCAAAGAGTGAAAGAGTGGCAGGCTGCGTGAGCGTGCGCGGGGCTCGGCTCGAGCGCGACGAGTTCGTGTGGCTCGACGGCTGCTGCAGGGCTGGATGGGCGGCTGCGAGGGTAGAAGCGGCCCGGCAAAGGATGAAGCCGCCGCGAGTCACACACACACAGGCCGCGAAGAGCTCTCAAGATGTCGATAGAAGCACTCGGCAGGTGCGAGGTGGCGCGGAGTGCACCTGCCTCAGGGCTCACGCTGTGGCTCAGGGGGCCTCAGGCCTCCCAGGGCGTCCTTGGGAGATGTACCGTGGTGCGTGGTACCGAACGCGAATCGGGAATCGCGAGCGAATGCTTGAGTGACAATCAAGATTTTGTAAACGCGGCTTTGGTCGGTCATGGCAGCCGGCACCGCTTCTAGGTCGTAAGCTGAAGCTGCGTGATCTGCATATTCAGATTTTGGACGGCGTGATCCTCGTGGTTGCAGCCGATCCACATCTCGGAGCTCGTGATGTGCGAGGTGGTCAGCACGTCACACGCTTCGTTTCCCTTCTTCCTTTGAATTCAAAGAAAACGCACGCGCAGCACGCTCTCGCGCTGCTCTGAGCACCCAACCCCGTGTCCAGCTGCATCTTCACCCCGATATGCCCGACGAGGTGCGCTAAGCAGCGCTTGCGGCGGCAGCGGCGGCAGAGCGGCGGCCGCGGCGGCGCGGGCGGGCGGCCGCGGCTGCGGGCCCACACACCGGGCGGGCGCGGCAGTGGCCTCACACTGCCGGGCGGGCGGGCGCGGCTGCGGACCACACACACGCCGCGCGGGCGGCTGCGGCGCGGCCCCACACACGCCGCGCGGGCGGCTGCGGCGAGGCCCCACCCGCCCCCAAGTGAGCGCGTTAACGCCCCGTCGCCGGCAGAGAAAGCGGCGCGACAGCGACAGCGACAGCGACAGCGGCGGGCGGAAGAAGAAGAAGAAGAGCAGCCGCAAGCAGGACTACTCCGACTCGGAATCGCGCGAGCGCGACCGCAAGGAGAAGAAGGAGAAGAAGTCGAAGAAGGAGAGGCGCAGCGATTCGGACTCGCCCCCGCGGCGCAAGAAGGAGAAGCGCTCGCGCCGCGACTCGCGGTCGCGCTCGCGCGACCGCCGCCGCGACCGCTCGCGCGACCGCCGCGACGACTCGAGGGACCGCGGCCGCGGCGGCTACGACGACCGCCGGCGCGACGACCGCGGCGCGGCGCCGCCTCTGGCCGGCGGCGAGGCGCGGCCCCTCCCCGACCCTTCTCTCCGACCCCGTCCCCCGTAGGCGACCGCGGCCGCGGCGGGTACGACGAGGACTTTTCGCGCTCCGTCGCCGGCCGTTATCCCGGCCGGATGCGGCACGAGATGATGCGCGCGGACGGCGACACGGCGCGCGGACAGTTCCGAGACAGTTCCACTGTCGAGACCTCTCCGCCCGCTCCCTCGCGGCTGGAGCCGTGCCTCTGCCGCCATTCGCCTGCTGCATCAGCACCATTCGCCTGCTGCATCAGCACACACCCCGCGAGTTGTCCTCCAAAGGTAGACAGACGGTGAAAACACAGCCAAACCACGACTTGTCTCCCCCAGGCGCGCGTCGACGAGGAGAAGGTCAACACCATCCTCTCGCAGCGGATCGAGGCCAAGCGCAACAAGGACTTCTTCACGTCCGACCGGCTGCGCGACCAGCTGCGGCAGCAGTTCGGTGTCGAGGTGATGGACCGCGAGTGCAAGTGGTGGTCCATGCGCGGCGGACAAGGCACCTCTTGCTGCACATACCCCAAAAGAGCCCTCCCTCCTCACCCCTCCCTCCTCACCCCTCCCTCCTCACCCCTCCCTCCTCACCCCTCCCTCCTCACCCCTCCCTCCTCACCCCTCCCTCCTCACCCCTCCCTCCTCACCCCTCCCTCCTCACCCCTCCCTCCTCACCCCTCCCTCCTCACCCCTCCCTCCTCACCCCTCCCTCCTCACCCCTCCCTCCTCACCCCTCCCTCCTCACCCCTCCCCACTCGCTCCTCTCTTCCCACTCGCAAGGGCCGGCGATCAACGTCGACTACGGCCGCCACGACTACGCGCGCACCGACGACCTGCCCGGCGTGGACGTCGAGGAGATCGACAAGCTGCTCTCGCAGCGGCTGCACGCGCGCCGCACGCACGACTACTTCCACGCCGACAACCTCCGCTCCCAGCTCAACCGAATGGGCGTCGAGGTGGACGACCGCGCGCGGTCCTGGACGGCGACCGAGCGGGCGCAGACGCCCAGATGCCTCTGGAGACGATCGCATACGGACGGCCCTTGTACCCACGCGGCGCTCGGAGTACACGGCACGAGGGCGCACTCACGCCCCGACTCTCCTCGCGGACCAGGCGCAGAAGCCGGGCTTCGAAGACCACAATGGGCGGCGCGACGACGACGAGCCCCGCGGAGGAGGACGAGGAGGAGGAGGAGGGCGACGCCGCGGCGGCAGCCCCGAGGGCGGCGACAGCGCCGAGGGCGGCGACAGCCCCGAGCGCGTCGACGGCGGCAAGGGCGCCGCCGGCGAGTCGGAGGAGTGAAGAGGCGCGAAGAAGCCCCTCGCGGCACAACACACACGCCCGGGGGCAGCGCGGACCGGGGGGCAAGGCGCCCGGTTGGAGAGCCCGGTTGCCCCTCGGGTCTACCGAGAGCGGAGGGAAGGGGGGGTGAGCGCCCGGGGGCGAGGCAGCAAGCGATTTTGCATGCAAGAGACCGTCGAGGTGTCGGTCCCGCTCAGTGTGTCGCGGGAAGGGCTCTGCCTCTGGCGCTGTGGCCGGCGCGGTGGCCACACACGCGCCGGGGCACTGGGACCGGGACCGGCGCTCGTGTTCGTCGTTCGTGTTGGCTAGTTCCATTTCAAAGTGGCACAGCCCGCGCGTTACAAAACCTTGATTTTGACCATTTGCGCCATTTTGTCCCTCTCGGTGCCTTCCAGAGGCAGCTGCCGACCTCGCCGAGTAGACGGGGGCACTCGGCAGGTGGCGCGGAGTGCCCCCGTCCACTCGGCGGGGTCGCAGCTGCCTCTGCGCGTCCTGGGGAGGGACAAAAGTGTCGCCGCCGAAGGCGACTCGACGCCGCTGAGATCGGAGATCAAGCTCTGACAGGTCGCACGTCGCTCCTTTGACGCCGACGTGACTCACCACCCGTGCAGATCACATCAGGACACGGTCTCGACACGCTCGGTACGACGCCTGCGACCCGTCTTGGGTCAGGTGGCACGACGCTCATCGCGCCTACCAGCGCTGCCGTGCAGGTTGCCACGACGAGGTCGAGCACGCTTCTATACGCTCGCCCAGCCTTCCTTTCCATCCCATTCGGTAGCCTGGGAACGGTGGCGGTCAGAGGCAAAGCCTGCGAGGGGTGGTGGAACCACATGTCACGGCTACTGCCGGCTCGACCCACGATAGCCTCCGGAGGCTGACTTTGCGGCACCATCAAGGTGTATTGTTGGCAAATCAAGACACAGAGCTCACACAGAATCACAGCGGGAGGAAAGCGGCGAGTCGCAATTCCCTACTTTTTGTTCGTCTACCGACATTAGCAACTTCGTGCTCATGTCAACGCCACACCAGCGCTAGCCCATTGATTCAACCCCGCCCCCATTGGGGGCGGGGCCCTTCAAGGGCCCAACTCTAGTTCGTTTGAAGCGCAAAAAGAGAAAAGCGCGGCCCGCACCAGCCCCGGTCGAAGCCAGCCGCCCGCGCTCCGCGAAGCCGTGGTGGCGCATAGAGCTCTCTCTCCTTAAAATCCCTGTGTGGTGTGGCGGCGTGCCGTCCTCCCGTCCCTCCATTGGGGTGTATGTTTTCTTTCTTTCCCAGTGTCCTGTCGTGCGAGGGAGCTTTGTTGCGCATTCTTTCTTTCCTTTCATCTTGGGATTTCAGAGAGGAGTGTTGGGGGGGGGGGGGGGTCGCGCAGCCTGAAGCGTCTGAAGGAGGGGGAATGTGTAATGTTGGTCTATGGAGGGAGGAGCGGCGGAGCGGGCGGCGGGTGACGATCGATCGGCGACGTCCTCGTCGTGTGCGGCGGTGCTCGTACTCGCTGGTTCACAGGCACGACGTATGGTGCAGAGTCACAGCAGATGGTGCGAAGTGATGTGAACTGTGGCGACGCGCAAAACATCAACAACGCTGCTCGCAACATGGTACATGCGTGTCGCGCACTCATTCATGACCGGTCTCAATGCCCCACCCCCCTGCGCGCGGGCCTTCTAGGCCCGCGGGTAGCCTCCCCCCATTCCCAGGGCCTCCAGGGCTCGCACCTCAACCTCTCACAGACCAGCGCACAGCGCCCTGCGACGTATTTTCTTCTCAATAACTGGAGGGGAACCCTGCAGGACCCTGTCCTCCTCTCCCATCGCCGCCGGCGCCGGCGCCGCTGGACACATCCCTCGCAGGAATGCGCGGCATAATCGAGGCACGGCGGCGCCTTGGCCATGGCGTGATTGTCCTTGCTGCCGTGGCGGCGCTGGCTCAGGCCAAGCCATCGGAGCCGTTTCTCACGCTGTATCTCCTCCGAGCCAAGAGCATCGCCGCCTCCGACCTTGAGCGCTTCGTCTGGCCGTGCGCCACGTGGGGCGCCTTCGCGCTCGCGCTGCCGGTGGGCCTCCTCGCCGACGCCGCGGGCAGCCGCGTGGTCATTCTGTGCGGCATGCTCTGCCGGCAGGCGACGCGGACGCTGCTGCTCTTCGCGCAGAGCGTCCCGGCGATGGCCGGCATGCAGCTGACCTATGCCGCCTCCGCCGCCGCCGACACGGTCCTCTTTGCCTGTAGTATGATACAACACAAACATAGTGAATAGATCATGTCGTGTATAGGTCCTCTTTGCCTATGTCTTTGCGCTCACGCCTAAGCCCGGCCCGGCCGCGTTTGCCCGTGCCGCCGGCGTCGTCCGTGCCGCGTACCACGCTGGCAACGTGGCCGCCTCGCTCGTCGGGGAGTGGTGGGTCGAGGGTAGCGGCCTCGACGCGTCCGCGGCGGGTGGCGGGGCCGAGGCGGCGGCGGCGGCGGCAGGGCTCCCATCGGTGCTCCAGCGCACTCCCCGAACCTTCTCGGAACCTTCCTCTAGGCCGCCCTCCGGCCGCTCTTTCTCGCCTCGTGGGCCACCGCCACGGCGGCGCTCCTCCTCGCCGCCGCCGCGCTTCCTCCTCCGCTGCGCCCGCCGCCGCTCTCGGTCGCGTCTCTCCTCCTCCCTCGCCGAGGTCAGGCGGGCGGGCGTGGCAGCGGCGGCAGCGACGGCAGCGACGGCAGCGGCGGCAGCGGCGGCGGCGGCAGCGGCGGCGGCGGCGGCGGCGGTTTCGGCGGCGGCGCTGGCGGAGGTGGCGGCGGCGCGGGCGAAGGCGGCGGCGCGGGTGAAGGCGGCGGCGGGGACACCTCGGCCGCGGCGGCGATGCTATCCGGCGTCCTGCACCCGCTCTGGCCGTCGGTGGCCGTCGGTGGCAGCGCCGGGCCACGCGGTCGCAGCGCCGCGCTGTGGGCGGTGTGGTGGGTGGGCGGCGTCGGCTGCAGCGGCGAGTCCCGCGACCATTCGGCGGACGCGTCCACGACATGTACACGACACGTCCTGGACATGTCCTCCGCAGGCCTGTCTCGCAACTACTACCAGCTGCAGCTGGCGGCCGTCAGCTTGCGCAGCCCATTCGGATACACCGAGGCGGAGATCAACCGAGATTGCGCATGAGCACTGCCACGCCACTCACTCATGCGCGTCTCCCCCCCCCCCCCCTCTCCGCAACAGGCAGCCATCGAGGGCGGCCTTGCCGCCGGCGCCGCCCTCGCCGCCGTCGCTCCGCCGCCACTGCGAGAGCACTCATGGTCGCTGCTGCTCGGCTCGACCCTCTCCGCCGCCGCCCTCTACCTCGCTTGCGCGCGCGGCGCGGCGGCGGGCTCGCTACCCCTCGTCGTCGGCGGCAACGTGCTCTCGGCCGCCTTGTTTGGCTTCCAGCGGGCGACCGGCGCAGCGAGCCTGGCGGCGGCGCTCCCCGAGCGGCGCGATGCTCTCCTCTTCGCCCTCCTCTCGTTCGCCGCCCTCGGCGCTGCTTCGCTGCTGCAGGTGGCACACGCTCACTCTCACACGCACACCACGAGCTCCGGCGGTTCCTTGAAATGCTGACCCACCTCACCCCACCCCACCCCACCCCCCTCCCCCTCCCTCGGGCTTGCCCCCTCCCTGCAGGCGGCGGGCGCCGCCGCGCGACTAGACGCTGGCGGGTACTACTTGCTCTGCGCTGCGGCGCAGCTGCCTCTGCCGGCGGCGATGCTGACGCGGTGGGCGGTGCGGGCGGTGCGGGCGAGGCGCAGGCGGGCGCCGGAAGCAGCGGGAGGGAGTGCGCACACGTAGACGAGCAGAAGAAACAAGTCGCGAGCCGTGGGCGGCGCGGCGCAGGGTGGAGAGATGTGCCCTCACCCCTCTCGGCAAGAATGACTGCGGCAAGAAGACAGTCGTCATCGAGGCGACGAGGAGAGGGCCTGCTTCCGGCGTCTGGCCCACTCACCACTGCACGGGGCAGACTCCGTCAACGGCCCTCCGCTCACCGCCGCCGCGCTACCTCTGTCCTGCGCTGCGACGCAAGCCTCAGTTGCCGATGCCGTTGTCCAGGCTCACCTTGCAGTGACTGAAGCCGTAAGTGGCATCGGTGTCGTTGCCATCCCCCGCCCCGGATCCGTGGGCGATCGGCGCGCCGTCCTCCCAATGGGCATGCCGGCTATTCCCGCCGGCGCCTTCATGGATCGCAACTCGCTCCTCACCGTCACTTGCCCGAGCAGCGTCGAGTTCGTCGGCAGCAGGGCCTTCTTCACCTGCAAGTCGCTCATCTCCGTCACCTTTGCGCACGGCCTCATCGCCGTCAACAGCGCCGCCTTTTACGCCTGCCGCTCCCTCAAGTATGTGTCTCTCCCGGACACCCTCGCCATCCTCGGGCCCGGTGCCTTTGAGGTGAGCTCGCGAGCACACTCTCGGCTGCATCTAACCTCTCTCTCACACACATGAACTCGCACCCCCCCCCCCCCCCCGCAGGCGTGCTCCAACCTCGAGTACATCGTACTCCCCCCTAGCCTCACCGGCATCGCCCACGAGGCCTTCCACGGCTGCCGGGCCCTCAAACGCATCTTCATCCCCCCGAACCTCGCCTGCATCGGCAACAGCGCCTTCCGCGCCTGCTACGCCCTCACCCGCGTCACCGTTTCGACCACCACCATCCTCGGCACCAACGTCTTCCCGGAGATAACTGAGGTCGCGGACTCTACTTGTACTTGTACTTGTGCACACACACACACACACACACACACACACACACACACACACACACACACACACACACACACACACGCACACGCACACACACACCTCGCCCGCTCGCACCCCGGGCCTCGTTGCCCCGCCCGCCGGCGCGTGGAGTATACAGCCTTCACCTCTCGCCCCGCCTCGCAGGTGATCCGCCTCCCGCCCGCAAAGATGCGCGCGCAGCAGCTCTGGGACGGCGTGATCGACGAGGCGGTCGCGTACAAGCGCTGCCGCCCCCTCTTCTACAGCTGGCTCGAGCGCGCCCAGCTCCGGCTCAACTCCTACGGGGAGGGGGGCGCGGCGCGCAAGCGCGACCGCGAGGAGTTCGAGGGCGACTTTGGGCACCTCGTATGAGGATGCCACAACCCACGCCCGCCACGCGCCCGCCCCTTGATTGCGCCCTACCATCCACCTTGGCCGGGCGCGTAGAGCTAGCTAGTGTGTGGCCAGCAGCACCCGTCCCCCGGGGTGAGACGAGCAGCAGCCACCACGGAATCCGTGCCACGGTTCTCGGTTGTGAGGTAGATTGTGTGAAGGGTGGGGTAAGGTCAGGTCAGGTAAGGTCGGTTCTCGTCGTGCAGGGCGGGGGGGACATGCGCACACGCGTGTCACGTCCCACTCCTTTCGAGGCCCCGCACTTGGGCCACGCTATCCTTCTTCGATTTTGACCGTTTTCATTTATTTTCTCACTCTCTCACCGAGTATCATCTCCACGCACGTCCTGCCACACGCCTCAATCCTGCCAGGCGTGTTGTTCAACCCCCAGAGGGAGAGCTGCGCGTGCGAGCACCCTTTTCTGCGTTGCCGCGCATGGCAGAGGCGCAGGCTTGCCTTGGCGCACGTCGTCACGTTGCCGCGACTCCGTGGCTCAGGGAGCGGCACCGACGAGCACGTCACGTGGCTCTCCGAGCACTCCCTCGCCCCCTCCTCGCGCCACCAGCGATGGATGATCGCTGCACGGCGCGGGAAATCGTCATCGATCTTGGAGTGCCAGACGACCGTCGCAGGGCTGCTGACGAGCCCGTGGGCATCTCGGAACAGACTTTCCCGCGCTTGGCCCCCGACGTTCACCAGCATGAGCGAGGGCAGCGCGAGGCGCGAGACGGCGTAGCCCACCCACACGTCCTCCCATGCAGCCCACACCTCGCGCTGGCACGCGCTGCCGTTCTGCTCGCGCGTCGCGAACCACTCCTTGCTCCACTTGACGCAGCGGAGCGGGTCGCCCGCCGTGATCGCTTCGGCGTGCTCCCGGGGCGAGTAGGAGCGCGTGCGCGGCATCGCGGCGTAGCGGCTCTCGTGTCGGCTACTCCCTTGGCCAGAGAGCCTGGTGGCGAGCGGGCGAGAGAGTAGGAAGAGGGCGCCCTTGGCAAACGAGAAGGGCCCGTGGAGCCAGTGGTCTGCGCCCTCCGAGGGGCGGTCGCGGCACGACTCACGCTGCACCCCATTCGACCAACGCGCCGGCGCGTCGACATCGGGTCGCCAGTGGTACTGCTCGAAGCCTCCGACGTAAATGTAGGGCTGCTGCCAACGCAGCGACGAGAGCTGAGAAAGCGTGTGGTGCACCCAGCGCGCAGCTACCCACACGTCATCGTCGGCCTTGCCGACGAAAGGCGCGCGAGGGAACGCAAGCATGGCGCACCGCAGCCACAGCACAAACGAGAGGAGCGGGCCGTTCTCTCGCCTCAGGTCGGACGGCGCATTGACAAAGACGATGTCGCTGTGCGTTTCGTGCTCCCCGCACGTGGCGCCGGCGTCCGTGAGCGGCGCGCCCCGGATCACGAACCGTGCCTCCAGCCCGGGCTCGAGCTCGCGGAGCCACGTCACTCGCAACGTGTCCCGCATCCGGCCGCGTGGCTCGTGGGAGAGGATGCCGATGGCGCCGACGGGGGAGGAGGCTGCAGGCGAGCACTGCTGCTTGAGGTCCACCCCGCACATCGTCGGGGAGGGGAAGGGCATCGCTCGTTGTTTTGGGAGGGACGCGAGTATCGGCGCACGTGGGGAGCGGACGGGCGCGGCTCTCGTTCAGTGTAAGGCGAGCGCGTCGGTCGGAGTAGAGTTCGACAGAGACGGACAGAGCGGCGGTCGCGGCCCTCGTTCAGTGAGGCGAGCGCGTCGGTCGGAGTGGTTAGCGGACAGCGGACGGTGTTTTGGGAGGTCTGTCATCGCGTCACGCTTAGTTTGACCGTCTCAACGGCGCTTCCATATCGGACTGTCTTTTTCCACTCTCACACATACGCACACGCACACACAGACGCACGCACGCACGCACGCACGCACGCACGCACGCACGCACGCACGCACGCACGCACGCACGCACACAAACACACACACACACACACACACACACACACACACACACACACACACACACACACACACACACACACACACACACTCACACACTCACACACACACAACTCAACACCGACGCAACGGGAAGAGATCTCTCGCTCCCGAGACGGCGCGACGCGCACCCCCAGAGTTTTGTACCCTCCCGCACACGAGCCCATACGCCATCGCAGATCACACCCCGGCGGCATCACCCCCCCAAAACCACCCCTTACGATATGTGTTAGTGTAGAACAAAAGAAAAACACGTGGAGGGCGACGGACGCTTGCGTCCTAGCCTCGAACAACGCCTCCCCGGCGCAGAGGGGCCCCCAGAGGATTGCACAACCGCTCCACCCCACGCCGCTTGCGGCGGTCCTATTCCCAGCTCCGCTGAGGGCGCGGTTATTCTTTTCTCGAGGGAGTGTTTTAAAATCCTTTTCTCCCCAGCCATCTACTATGGCTGGGGCACAGTCAGTGCAGCCATCCTCCGGAGCATGGCTGGTGATAATTCGATGGCAGCCGTCCGCCTCCCCTGCCACACGCACAAATGGCTGCGCGCTTGTCGCCCCCTGCCTGCCTCGCGGGACGGCTGCCATCGGCTGCCATCGAATTACCACCAGCCATGGCTCTGGAGGATGGCTGCGATCTCTATGACGCAGCCATAGTAGATGGCTGAAATGGCTGGAATGGCTGTCCCCCAGCCATCTTACCCAAGATGGCTACGATGTAGCCAGCTCAGCCAAGAGGGCTCACCTCGAGGCGGGCGGTGTGGCTGCGGTAGTGCGTCTCCAGCCATGTCGCATGTGTACTAAGGATGGGCCGTGTGTGTGTTGCAGCCATCGGGCTGAAGGATGTGGCTGCACTGTAGCTAGCTCAGCCATCCTTATCCCTAGGTAAGACAGCACAGCCATGAGGGGTCCCGTACTATGCGGAATCGACCTTATCCAGTGCTCAGTGAGCAGGGCTTGGGGACATTCCGAGGTTAGCCCCAAGATCGCTGCTCGTGCCGGTGTGCCTGCCTCGCCACTTGTGCGACATGGGGGGAGCGAAAACAGCATACCTCATCGCCTACAACGCCGGCTGCATGGCCGGCTGGGCGTACGCCCTCTACCTTGCCCTCACCGCCCTCGCTGACGGCGGCGCGCTCTCCAGCACGTGGGCCACGATGGGCACGGCGATCATCCTCTCGCAGTCGGCCATGGCTCTCGAGATGGTCCACGCGGCGACGGGGATGGTGCGCTCGCCGGTGATGACCACCGTGATGCAGGTGCTCTCGCGCCTCCAGTTCCTCGTCTGGATCCCGCTCGCTCCCACGTCGGCGAGCCAGTGGGGCTGCGGCATGATGGCCATCTCATGGGCGCTGGTCGAGGTGCCGCGGTACGCCTTCTACCTCAACAACCTGGTCGGGCCGGGCGGGCAGACGGGCACCCTCTACCCCATCTTCTGGCTCCGCTACTCCCTCTTTGCCATCCTCTACCCGACCGGCATCACCGGGGAGGTGCCTTCCTTCTCCTCGCCCTGAATTGATCAGATGAATGGAAACGCCTGTCCCGCTGAGAGTGTTACTGCTGAGTGGAAGGTCCTCACCCTCCTCGCCTGCCTCGCCGATCCGTCCTTCGCGTCGGCCCTTGGCGGCTTCGCGCCGCTGCTCATCAAGGCGAGACACTTCCGAGACATGTCCGAGACACGTCCGAGACACGTCCGAGACACGTCCGAGACACTTGATGAACGAGGAGCTCACCGACCGATGAGCTCGTCCACAGGCGATGCTCGTGCTCTACGTCCCGGCGTCGCCCTTCATGTACATGAACATGGTCAAGAACCGCAAGGGCGCGCCATCCAGCCGCGCGACCCAGAGGCGATGCCCGTGCGCAAGCCATTCATCCGCTGATTGAGCCCATCGCCAGGTGCCTTCAAGAAGCGGTTCGCAAAGCCGCCGCCGCCGCCAAAGGCGCCGGTGGGGGCCGAGTTCCCCGAGGACAGCAAGGGCGGCCGCTCGACTTCGGAGGTGCTCGAGAAGGTACTTGGGCGCGCGGTGTTTCTTTCTTTGAGCGGCCGCGTTTCTTCTTTAGGCGGGCTAGACGGCGCTCGCGGCAGCCACATTCATTGACCATTCACGATTTAATGAATCGGTCGTTAGGCGGGCAAGAAGGCGTTCGCGGCAGCCATCGGCGGCAGCGGCGTCGGCGAGGCGGAGGCGGCGGCGGCAAAGTGCGCCGGCGAGAGGAGCTGGCGCTTCGGGTGCGGCGGCCCACAGAGCATTAAGGAGCCCCGAGATTGTCCGAGATGTCCCGAGAGTGTGTCCGAGAGTGTCGATGACCCCCACAGCAGGAGCCCGGTCGGTGGTCGGGCGGCGGCGGAACCGGACCACGCTCTCTCGCCCGCACCCCTCCTCCCACCCCTCCCCCCCTCCCCCTCCTCCCCCCTCGCCCCCCCTCCCCCCCTCCCCCTCCTCCCCCCCCCTCCCCCTCCTCCCACCCCCCTGCCCCTCCCCGCCCAGGTACAATAAGCACATCACCAAGCTCGTCCGCCTCTCGTGCGAGTCGCCCGCCGCCGGCCTCGGCTCGGCGAAGGCACGCCCGCCGCGCCGCGCGAGGCGGAGGCCGAGCCGAGGTCGAGGCCGAGGTCGAGAGTGGTCCACATGGTCTAGGCGGGGCTGGGGTGGATGTACGAGAACATGGTGTACCACTCCCCGGACCAGACGCTGCGCGGCCCCTTCGGAGCAACCGTCGACAAGGTGACCGGCTCGTTCGAGACGGGCGCGGTGCGCGGCGGCAAGCGGCCTCCCCCGCCGGGCTACCGGGTGCCATACGACGCTGGGTGGCACCCGTCGCGGCCGCGCCCTCCGCCGACCGGCCCTTCGGACTGCCTGAGCGGCAAGGCGCTCAAGGCGCAGGCGGCGGAGTGGGCGGCGGGCGGCATCATCGAGCCGGACGCGGCGGAGGCGCTCTGCTGGCTCTCCGACCACTTTGACAAAGGCGAGAGCCTGCAGGACGTGTACGTCGTGATGATCGGCGCCGGCTCGGCGATGGGGCCCTTCCCAAAGCTGATGGAGATGGGCGCGACGGTCGTCGCCATCGACATCCCCGGCGCGTGGGGCAAGGGCGGCCCGCGCCCTGCCTCCGCTGTGTGGAGGCGCCTCTGCGACACGGCGCGCGAGGCTCGGCGACACTCGCCCGTCCTGCCGGCGCTCCTCCTCGGCAGGTTCGTGGAGCCTCCCTGCAGGCGCGAGGCTCGGCGGGCTCGCTCGTCTTCCCGCTCTCCAAGCCGCAGTCGCAGTGCGCCACCGACGAGGAGCTCTATGAGGCCGCCGGCTGCGACCTGATGAAGCAACCTGGCGAGATCGCAAACTGGCTCTGCGAGTGGCAGAAGACCCTGCCCGACAGCGCAAAGGCGACGAGAGAGCTGCACACGACCACTCGTTGATGCCCCCCCGCCCAGTCAGCAGCGAACTCATCGACAGGTGATGATCGGCAACTACACCTACCTCGACGGCGAACCTGCAGCCGAGACGCAGCCGAGATGCAGCCGAGATGCAGCTACCCGAACCCACACACCACGACACGCCCACGACACGCCCGCGACACGCCGTCTCTTTACACCCTGAAGCCCGCTCTCTCCTCCTGAAGCCCGCCGCCGGCCGCGCACTGTGATCGAGCATTCCCTGCCGTTTCCTCAGGCGAGCTCCACGTCAAGCTGGCGCTCTGCGCAGACCACTGCACCCAGCGGTGATCATGAAACAGTAGTCAATACGTACTCACTGCTATAGGCGCTCTGCGCGGACCACTGCACCCAGCGGTGATCATGAAACAGTAGTCGATACGTACTCACTGCTATAGGCGCTCTGCGCGGACTACTGCATCCGGCGGCTCCGCGCCGCACGCCCCGCCACCGGCGTCGCCTCACACTCGTCACCCAGGGGATCAACACGTCTCGGTGCTTTCCGAGACCCTTCCGAGACACTTCCCATAGGCGTCGCGTTCCTGTGCACGCCCACCGACATCCACGTCTGCACCGACGCGTCCGACAGAGCGGCGCGCGGCTGTTTGAGATTGACACGAGATGACGCGAGATCGCATGAGATCGCGCGAGGTTGCGCGAGGTGACGCGAGATCGCTCACGAGATCACCCGAGATCACCCGAGATCGGCGCCTCTCAGGCGCGCGACAACTACGGCTCCGGCTTCGGATCGTTCGGGCTCGAGAAGCTCGCCAACGCGCTTTCGGGCGGCAAGCTGCTCATCCCCAACTTCAACGCGCCGGTGGAGGCGCAGGCGCGCCTACCCCCCCCCCCCCCCGGAACCCGCTTCCAAGACACTCCCGCCGCCGTACTGCAGCGCACGCACACGCTCGTTCACTCACACGCTCGTTCACTCACACGCACGCACGCACGCACGCACACGCACCCCGCCCGGTCGACCCACCCGCCACCGGCTTCCGTGCCGACGCGACGCGCAGGGCGGCAAGCTCATCAAGTACGTTGACGGGCTGGCGGTGGCGCAGGTACTTGACACCGGCTCGCCTTCCGCTGCACACCTCCCCCCCCCCCCCCCTCCCCCTCCCCCCCTTCCTCTCCGCACCCCCCCCCTCCTCCCGCAGGGGCCGAACTATGCGCTGGCCAAGCGGATGCAGCACTGGCGCGCGATGATCGAGTTCGAGAGCGGCACCGCCGCCCTCTCCCGCGCCGCGGCTGTGAACGGCGTCGCTTCACGCCGGCGCTTGTGAACAGGCGCCGTCGTCTCGTCCAGTGTCGCGCCGTCGACCGCCACGATCAGCGTCCTCTCGAACAAGACCTTCGCTTGGGCGTACGGAGGCGCGCCCCACCCCCGCTTCAAGCACCCGTGTCCTGTCTATGAGTATCCGGGGGGAAACAACCCTCTCTACTTCCCCTGCTTGGCCCAAACCTATGCACGATTGAGCATCGACAGCGCGTCGCGACGCCATCCCGTTCGCTAACTCGTGTCAGCGGCGCAGGCATGCCTTACTTCAAGTACGAGATCTTCAAGCAGGAGACGACCAACGCCGTGATGGTCCGCCACGCCCCTTTCCCACCCCCCCCTCCCTCCTAGTCATCAAAACCTTGCTCCCCCCCCCCCCCCTCACAGGCGGCGCTGCTCATGCACGACATCCTCAACTTAAAGGGGCCAAAGAACCCCGCCAACCGCAAGCAGTTCCGCCTCTCCAACCCAATCGAGCTCTTCTCGACGCAGGCTCCTCTCGGCTCGCCTCGGCTCCTCTCGGCTCCTCTCGGCTCCTCTCGGCTCCTCTCGGCTCCTCTCGGCTCCTCTCGTTCTCGTCTCCGACCCAATCAAGCTCCTCTCGACGCAGGCCGTCCACGGAGGCCTATGGCGCTCCCCCTACAAGGCGAGGGGCCCGCCACCCCTTGCGCCACCGCCTCGTGCGTGTGGGGACGCCCACCTCGCCTCCTCTGACCTTGCTCTGTCTTTGCTCGCCAGGCGGACTCGCTCGGCGAGGTCTCGGCCCTCATCTACTTTGCAGGACTCGCGCGGCCCTACCTCCTTGCCGCCGGCGCCGCGGCGGCCGCCGCCGCGGCGTTCATGTGAGGACGCCGCTCGCATGGAGGCTGCTGCGGTGGGCAGCCGCGACACGAGAGGTGGAGCGCGGCGATAAAAGGAACACGTCGTCTTCCGGCGCCGTGCTCGCTGCTCGGCCACATGAAGTGAATACGGCACTCACTCCCACAAACACAACTTTCTCTGCATGCTAAAGAGAGAGAGAGAGAGAGAACAGAGAGCACATGTGCATCTGCCGATTCGATTGTTGTCGATCTTGTGTGTGTAGATCTAAGATCTCGGCACATATCCTTGTCTGCCCTAAAAAACTAAAAAGAAAAGCGAGGGCGGATTATACATTTTTTCCACACACACACACACACACACACAAATCAAAATCCGTAGTCGGTAGTGCGTGACGAACAAGTGCGCGCTTGCGCACAGCGCTCAGCGGTGACACTCTGTACGTGGCTGGGTTCACAGCGATTGTAGGAAAATGACGGGACCACTTGACGGTCGCGGCCTTCCGACTCGCTTGGGTTGTCTGTTTTCTTTCTTTCTTTTTTTCCGACTCGCGCCTCCGCCTCACTGGCACTATTGTAGCCCTGGCCGGTGCGCGTGCAGAGTTGAAGTTCCGGAGTAAAAATTCGAACGCGTTCTCTCACGGTGACCAAGAAATGTCCACCTCAGAGGCACCTCCGGAGGCAGGCCGCCGCACGCCGGCGACACAGCTCCAGCTGTCGAGCTGACCCGCAGCTCCTCTCAGAGCGGGAACTGTGACGAAAGTTGACTGAGGCGGGTGTCAGGAACCATCATACGGATCACATGGTGGCTCTCTCATGACGGGAGACCGCCCGACCACTCCTGGGTGGCACTGCCACCGGTGTCGCTCGACGTCCTGTCGACAGCGTGCCGACAGCGACACAGACCATGTGGGACGCGTCGAGTATCGACCTCTACTGCTTACCCAGCCTTCGACTGTATCCTGGCTGTGGCCCCACACCCACTGGTGTCCATCTCAGAGACCGCAGGAGGTCATGAGGGTCGATGGGAGTGCCAACCCCACAATGCCTAAAAACCCAGCCCAGTACGCGCGGTACGGCTCTATGCAGAGTACAGTGCGACTGCGAGCGCCGAGGCTGTCGGCGAAACAGCCGTACGTTGTGTACTCTCAATCATATGGATATACGTATTGTCGCTTCCACACCTCCACCTAATGCGTACAACCTTCCTCACTCGGCGCATGCCAGGAAGCCATTTTGCAGCGCCTCTGCGTCCAAATCACGGCCAATAAACACGATCCTGCTCTCCAGTGCCTCCTCTGCTGCATACGTTCCAATGACATCGCCCTCGAAGCTACCGTGGATGCCCTGAAAGCAGAGCTTCTCATACAGCGCCGCTCGTGGTGTCTGCCCCGCGCCTCTGTTAGTGGCGACGATCCCCTTCATACGGAGAATGTCGTCGCCGTGCTCCTGTAGGTGTTTGCCAAGGAACTGGCTGAGCGCGTCGTAGTTCATGCCTCCTCGGTGCGTTACAGATATCGACATGACGTCGGTGCCGTGGTGGTGCCCACCGTGCCCGTGTGAATGTCCGTGCCCGTGTGAGTGCCCGTGCCCGTGATAGTGGCTTTTGTGGCCGTGGCCGTGCTGCTCCTCGGTCGTCCCGTTGTCAGACAGCAGCGCCTCGGGCAGCCTGTCCAGCGAGAAGGCATCGACGTCGAGGATCGACGACAGCGGCACGTCACCAAATCGTGACGTCCGTTTCAACTTGGCGTGCGGGTTGATCCTCCGCAGCGTGGCCTCGGTCTCCTCCAGCTCCCGCGCATCCGTGACGAGGTCCGTCTTGTTCAGCAGCAGCACGTCCGCAAACGCCACCTGCTCGACGCTCTCCTGGGTGTCGTCCCGCTGCAGGTGGGCCGGTCCGTGCAGGGCGTCGAACACGGTGATCATCGCGTCCACCCGGGTCATCCAGGAGGCGGGGGTGCCGTGGATGAAGGCCTGCACGACTGGCGACGGCCGGGCGAGCCCCGTCGTCTCGACCAGGATGCGATCGAGGCGCCCGTGCTCGGCCTGGCCGAGCCAGAGCCGCTCCAGCACCGGCGTGATGTCGCTCTTCACGGTGCAGCAGATGCAGCCGTTGTTGAGGAGGATCTCGTCGCCGGATGACGAGGAGAAGTGCTCGGCGGTGAGCGCGTCGTCTATGCCCACGGCGCCGAACTCGTTCTGGATTATTGCGACGCGGCCGAGGTCGTGGTTCTCGGCCAGGACGCGGTTCAGCAGCGTTGTCTTGCCACTGCCGAGGAAGCCGGTGATGAGCGTGACGGGGATGCGGTCCTCCGGCGCCGGCTGCACGTTCAGAGGCGGGCAAGAGCGGTGCCGGTGCCGGCGCTCGTCGACCGAAGAGGAAAAAGCCGCCGCGAAGGACACCGACGGGGCGTAGCGTACGGCAGAGGCGGACAAGGGCCTCCTGCCGGCCGCCAGCATCCCGCCAGGAGGGGGAACGTGCCCGGCGTGACCGTGAGCTTTTTACTTGCGACCATCCGGAAAAAGAGAGCCGGCGGGGCGGCGTGGTGGCGGGCGCAATGCGCCAAGGGGGACATCGCGCCCGGACGGGCACGAGCTGTGCTGCCTCTGCGGGCGGGGAGCGGCAGCGTGCGCGTCGACTCGGGGGGCGGGCCGCGCGTGCGGGTACTCCTTCGGGGTGTACCAGTGGAGCTGTGCGAGGCGCCCCTCCTCTTCACCACCGGTTTGCTTGACGGGGGGGTGCCTGGTTTGCGCCAGGCTTACGTCGCGCATGGCATGTGCGGCGGGCTTTGCGGAGGTTGGGGCTGCCGCGAGGCGCGCGGCGAGGGCGAGGGCGAGGGCGAGAGTGGTGCCCGGTGGGACACACGCGGTCGTCTCTGTCGGTGCCGACTGCAACTGGGATCCGGGCTGCGCCAACGATGGGCAGGGAGATCTGCAAACGACGCTGGTGTACGTCGATCTCGAGAGCGGGGAGGTGACGATCGCGGCCCGCGGCATCCGCAACGCCATCGGCCTCTTTTTCGACCCGTTGGGAAACCTTCTCTTCACGTCATTCGGCTCCGACTGGGCCGCGGGGATACCGGGGGCGACGTCGCACAACAACGTGCCCGAGGATGTGGTGGAGGTGCTGCGGCGATAACTTCACATCGGTAATTGTGGCCACTGGCCCGCCGCACATTCCGACCGCATCCCAGGTGGAGTGTTGGCTGTTGCCTTGTGCGTTGTGGTGTGTCGGGGCGTCGGGGCGCGCGAAACGGGGTATGTGGCTTTTGTGAGGGGCGCGAGGCGATCTGGGAACATGCCTGGCGGAGGAAGGCCTAATTACATCTCGCTCAAACTTCCACATTAGCACTCAGAGTTCTCAGTCTCCGCTCTCTCGAAGACTCGAACGCAGAGGCACGTCGCCGGACACACACCTGTCACCTCCTCCACCTCTCTCAGAGCGATCCCTACCGTACAGCTGTGTAGCCTATTGCAATACCGCGTCGTCCCGCTCTCAGCGCATGAGAGGTAGGCTGCTCGAGTGGCATCGGTGCCGGCGCACCATGATCTCGCTCCCTCCCGCTGAGGTGGCCGAGCGCACGGCAATGATCTCTCGGCCTGGCCTGGCACTCTTCATCGGAGCGGCGAGACGAGTGCGGAATGGCTTCGCGGGTGGAGAGATATGCAGCACAGGTGATTGTTGAATCGGCAGCGGGGTCCCGGGCCGTGAGGACGCCAGGGCTGTGCCCGGTCCCTGTCTGAGGTCGAGGAGCGCTGCGGCGGCGAGCACCCTCGGGGACGGAGAGGGAGATTCCGCTACCGCCGCCGGCTGCGCTGCCGCCACCGGTGGCGTCGCCACCGCTGGGTCGCGAGCAGCACAAGCCGCATCAGGGGCTTGAGCATCTGGAGAAGATGCATCGGTCGCGGCGGTGAGTGGCCTCGGCAGCTTCTGTGACAGCCTGCGAGCCTTCACCGTCAAGTCCCAGAGGTAGAACCACGACCGGGCTTGGCAGCGCGTGCACACCTGTGGTGGCGGCAGAGGCTGGTGTGCATGCACACCTGTGGGAGCGCCGCAGCGGCAGAGGCTGGCCATGAGAACCAACGGAGGTGGTGCTCAAGCAAGGGGTACAAGCACAAGGTCCATCGGCCTCTATGAATTACGGCGCTTCCGTCGGCTTATTTCGGCGTGAAATGCTTGGCCCCACCTCTGATAGGTTGTCTGGCGCGGCGCGGACGAAGAAATTTAGGGAGGGACATTCAACCCATTTCACAGCAACTGGCAGGCACATTTCACAGCAACTGGCAGGCAGGCAAAATCCAAAAGAAAAATGGTGGCGAATTCGGCGTTGTGACGCTACTCGAGTAAACCAGAGAGACTAAGACTCTAGAAGACTCTCTAAACCTCAGGCCTCGCTGACAGAGATAGATAGAGAGCACGGCAGCTCAGTTCTGCTGTCTTCATGTCGGCTCACTCTGCCTGCGCCACGAGCGCGTCCTCGGCGGAGCTGGCGATGACGTGCGCCATCTGGAACATCGGCAGGATGTCGAACGGCTGCTCGACCTGCACGCCGAGCTCCTCGATGCCGACGTAGATGTACGACGTGGCGGCGACGTAAAAGAGGACCAACGGCGGCGAGAGCTGCCCCACCAGCACCACCGGCAGCGTGAGCAGCCAGAGCGCCAGTGAGCGGACGACGTGCCGAGACATGGTCGGCGGGATCGGGCTCGCAAACAGGCGCTCGCCTAAAGGAGCAGAGAGGGTGCGACTCCAAAAAGAGAAAGCTGCGAACGGGGCGCGCGTAGAAGCTCGCCTAGCGCGCGATAAGCCGCGATTCAAGGAGAGGAAAGCTGCGAGCGGGGATGGGCGCGCGAGGAGGCGCTCGCAGCCGCCGACGACGAGGTCGAGCTGGCGCAGGTCGTCCTCGAGCTTGTAGTGCATAGAAAGACGGCTGTGGATGCAGAAGAAAGACAGCTGGGGGTCGTCGTCCTCGAGCTTGGTGCACATGCGCCGGCACGCGGCCACGCTCGTACTCGGCATACACGGTGCGCCGCATGCAGCCGATGAGCTCGACGGGAACGTTGCGCCGCGAGGCAAGCCAATCCGCCTCTGCGGCGGGCAGCACCGCGCCCAGTACGTCCGCCACCTCGTCGCCCTCGCGCAGCCTCGCCTTGAGCACCCAACCGAACGCGGCGCAGTACCTGCCCAGCTGCACCGACGCCGCGCTCGGCGGCAGCCGCTCTCCTCGCCGCGTGTCGAGGACGGTGGAGACACCCTGCATCAGCTCGCGTACGAGGTAGATGGCCTTGCCCCAGAGAGCTCGCGCCTCGGCCAGCCGCTGGTACGAGTTGTTTGTCCTAAAGACGAGCAGCAGCCCGATCGCGGTGCCTTGCAGCGTGAGCCCGACGGGAGTCACCTGAGCAGGCGTTATCAAGGCGTCACTGGGCTGCTCCCGGCTAAATACCCAACTAACTTCGGCCAATCTCGGTGGCGTGCCTTGAGCAGGCCGCCTCGGGAGGCGCTCCAGAGGCGCGACCTGCTGTGGAGAACCAGGAAGATGGTCGCCCACCCCACGGCGGAGGCGACGCACGGCACCACGGCCCGAAAGATCGTGGAGCGGCCCCATGTCGTGAGCGTCTGCACCCACCGCATCGCCGTCGGCTGGCCAGTGTATTGTTCCCACGTCCGGTGCGTGAAGAGTCGGCGGAAGGACGGCTCTTGGCAGGAGTTTCCTCCCCGTCCGCGCGGCGAGAGCTTGCGAGCCAGCGACGGGGAAGGCCGGTCCTCCGTCCTGAGCGCTCTCAGCGAGTCGAGCGCCCGCCGGAACGACTCAAGGTCGCCGCGCTCTCGCGGCTCATGCGGCGAGCTCTCCCAGGCGGTGGCAGCAGGGAAGGCGCAGCGAATCGGCTGGCATCTGGAGCGAGAGACCAAGGGGAGAGAGACAGAGACCAACACAAGAACCGCACCATCGAAAAAAAGAAAAATACACGTTCAAGAAGAAGCGAGCCCACGATAGCGATTGTGGGGACTACATGATCCGTACGTGAGGGGTGGAGGGGCCCGTCCTATAAAGGTGTCGCGTCGTTCGTTGCGACGACGTTGGTCCGGATGCCGCTCCTAATCAGCCTGGGTCACTCATGGCTGCAGGATTTCAACACCCAGAATGCAATATTGGGCACGCAGAGGTGTATCTGCACAACGACGACGTTCGCGATCTCGATCTTCAACAGATAGAGTTTAAACGGTTGCATCTCCAGCATACAAAGGTCGTAATTCCAAACACAAGATTCGCATCGCGACTTGCGTTCGTCGAATTCCGTTCGTCGTGTTAGTGTATAACTTCATCGGCTCATCGTTCCACCGTTTTGGTATTGCTAAAAATCTCTCTCTCCCGTTTTGGCCAAATACTCTACAGAATAAACCCACAGATAAAATCATTTTCATCAAAAAAGTCGAAAGTGTAAAGGAGGTGTTTTACACTTGGTGCGGCACCCTCGCGTGGTGCTGGAACCCCTCCTTCGGTGGGCGTGTGGGAATGCGTAATCAAGTCGGCCTTGAAGGCGGCGTGGACACTCCGCACCATCACGACCGTCACAACCGCGAACAATAGGCCCAGGACAAGCTTTACAGCGTCCAGATCCGACAACCACATCCCGAGAACGACCCCGTCGTCAATGAGCGTCCCGACGGAGCACCGCTTGGTACCCGCACTCGTTCTCGCTGGTTTTTCCTCGGATTTCAGTGATTCCACGTGTCAGGTAGGTGATAGATAATGAGCTGGACTTGGAGCACTTGGAGTGCCAGTCGGCAGCCTCACATCCAGGGCCGGGGAGCTCAGAAGCGCACCCAGCGGGCCGGATGATCGGGATCGGGCTACGGGCTAGAGAGCCCTGACCCCTAGGGGGGTGCGCGTTCGCAGGGCAAGGGCCTTAAAGTAAACACGGGTCTCCGAGGGTTGGCCCCGCGTACCGGGTTTCCCCTTAACTGCAGGACGCCCCCTCTACTCGGAGCTAATCGAGCTAAAGCAAAATAGCTAAGGTTTTGAAATTTCACAGACATAGCTTCACACAGCAAGCGCCAAGCCCGCCAAGCGGCAGTGTTAATTTGTATCGTGTATCGTCTTTTTCGTTTTTGGTCTATCGAGAAGGTCCAGCCGGCGAAGAAGCTGCCGTGACTGCTGGGGTTCCATCTACCGTTTCCGTGTCCCTTCTAAACATGTAAAAAGCTTATGCAAGGGAGGTAGGTAGCTACCGTGAGTCCGAGGCTCACAGGGCAACTTCTCGCATGACGCTTGCTTGACCCTTGACCCGCCGACCGGCCGACCGCCGGTCCGACACGACCTACCGGCTCCCCAACTCTCGGCCCTGGCGCACGCGATCGCCTCGCGTCCAGTTGCAACCCCCTGAGCGAAGGCTCAGTCAGCTCCTCAGCTGTGAGCTCGCGCACGCCGCACGGCTTCCCCGCGCGCGCGAGCGACTTCGTTCGGCGGAGCCCTCGCGGCTATCTGCTCTGTTGGTAATGCCACGCGAGCTCCTCCTCCTGCGTGATCTTCATGTCCACAATAATGTTCTCGCGCGCGAGTTTCTCCACGAAGTACTCGAGGCTGCCAAGGCGGGCGCGGCGGGTGGGGAATTTGCGTCAAAATGTGCCAAGGCGGCTGGCGCTGCGGCGGGGGCGGTGCGCATAGACGCTGAGCGGCACACACCGGCCTTGGATAGTACTGAGCTTGGCCCACATCTTGGAACGCTCAAAGTACGCCGAAAGCTCAGCTTGGTCGATGAACCCGTCAGAGTTTTCGTCCCTGTCCAGGAACTTCTCGCCAGCCTCTGCAATCTGATCAGCCGTTGGCGTGCAGGCCCCCACCCCCGCCCGTCCCTCTTTGACCCTCTCGGCGATAAACTCGTCCCTGTCAATCTTACCGTCCGCGTTACTGCCGGCTTTTGCGAGCTCGTGGGCCGCGTACTCCGCCGCGCTGATGGTCATGTCGAGATTGGTGTCGTACGACATGAACCGAAGGAAGTGGTCGGCGTACGTCTCATATCCATCGCCGTCCAGATCGCGGATAGTCTTGGGCGGGCAGTCCAACGAAGGCCCGAAGGCGGCGGCGAGAGTCGCTGTGAGGAGCGCCGCCAGCGGCACGCGCGACGTCAAAAAGACAGACATCAACCACCCGAAAAATCAATTGACGCTTTTTATTGACTGGCAAAAGAAATCTGACTGCCGCGCCGAAACTCTAACAAGCTGTTCCCCGGCGCCGCGCCACAGCTTGCCGAGCGCCGGCCACAGGCCTGCCTGCAGCCCAGCCACACCCGCCGCGGCGGCAGCTAGTCGGTTCGGCCTTGACTCGCGCGCGCCGAGATGGGAGCCCAAGTATGTGAGCGCGCGGTGCGTCGACACGCCTCCACTTTTGTAACAAAGTCTGCTTGGCTTGTGCAGGTGATGCCCAGAGCTGCAGCGGCGACGCCGACAGCCTCGTCTCGACCTCAGAGGCTGCCGGCGTGACCATAGACCTGTGCTCTATCCGTCCGGTGGTTCACCGTACACGCCTGTGTAGGAGCGGCTCTCGCGTCGATTACGCGCCGAAGACTGTCAATGAGGGTACAGCCGACGAGGTCATTAAGTACATGATCGTGCACGACGTCAAGGCGTCAGTCGCCTGCAGGAAGGTTGGCACGTGCCCGATGGGGGTGAGTCGGCTGATTGCGTCCCTCAAGGAGATGGGACAGTGGGAGCCGCACGTGCGCGCCATCCGTGACGGCGCAGCGCCGGCGCAGCCTGATGAACAATGGGATCAGTCCAGATCCGTCCCGGCGTACCGCCGGTGCCGTTTTTTCGCCGATTTTTTGCCCATCCAGTTAGTCGACAAAGTTGCCCTGGAGCCGCTGCCGCTCGACTGCGCGGCGGAACCGGCCCTTCGCGGCCGAGATGCGATGCGCCGACGCCGGGGCTACGGCTCGGGACCATTTCCGGGCAGTCTCGGGCAAGTTCAAAATTTGATGATTTCATGACCTCGCCATCCTGTTGCACATTTTGACCTCAACCCGCGGCCCGCTGCGCGGCTGTCCGAGCGCGAGAGGAGTCGTCTACGAGGCGGCGGCGAGCGCAGGCGGCGGCGACGCGGCGGCGCGGCGGCAGATCGCGGCGCGGACAACGGCAGCAATCAGCGGCAGGCTGCTGCTAGCTGCTGCAGCTGCTGCTGCTGCTGCTGCTGATCTGCTGATTGTGGCTACGATTTCTCCGATCACCCCGCCCGCCCGCTCCGCCCCGCCCGCCCGCCTCTCCCCGCGTTCCCGCCCGCCCACCCGCCCGCCCGCCCGACCGACCGGCCACCCATTCCCATCACCATCTCACATACCTTCATACAGGCGCTCGAGACCTCCTCTCGCTGCCTACTCGCTGCCTCGAGGGAGGAGGGGAAGAAGTCGGGCGCGCGCCACTGCGCTCGCCTGGCCGAGGCCCCTCCCCGAAAGGCAAGTCTTAGCCACATGAAATCCGAGACCCCTCCCCACCACCCCAATCCCCCCACCCCCTTGCTCCCCTCCCCCCCTCGGGAGGGCCGAACTGAGGCGCCCGTGGGGACCCCGCAATTCCCTTCCCCCCTCGGAGGGGGCCAGGAGGGGGCCGGACGGAGGCGTACCCCGAGGGCCCCACTCTTTCCTTCGCATAGCGGCCACTCTTCGGATCGCTGGTCGAGCGACCCGGGGGATGCCCCGCGCGCCTGACCCAGGCGCGAAAACGAATCTGCGAGGCGCGGCCGCTCATGCGGCCCGATGGGGAGGAGCGGGGCAGACTACGGGGATCGGCTTCTTACACAGCCCTTCCCTGCAGCGAGCCCCCCTCCAACCCACCCGCGCTAGGTCTCGGGTTTGACGCATGGGGTCACTCCCGCGAAACTCGTGAACTAGCCGGGGCAGTCGGAGAAGGGGCAACTCCGCGCACTGACGGTCGGCCGTCAGAAACCACGCCTGCGTGGATCGCGTCACACCAATTCTCGCTCCGAGGGTACCCAACGCGGCCAAACCTCGAGAACCTCGAGAAGAGAACACAAAAGGTCGCGAGCAGGGTTCCGGCTCCCACCCGGATAGGGGGTCTGTTCCCACTGACTCGCGCCAAAAAAAACGCCCTACCTTTTTACCTACCTATCCCCAGGCCGCGCAGCGAAGCGAAAAAAGATGAAAATAGGGGCTACCTACCTATTGCAGGGCCCTTTTGGGCCAAACAAGACCAACCTACCTACCTATCTGGGAGGGGCCAGCCAGTGGGAACAGACCCCCTATCCGGGTAGGAGCCGGAACCCAGCCAGGAGCGGCTGCTGGGGGGCTGTACAGTCGGCGTGCTGTGGCTAGGCCTAGCGTGCCAACGAGAGGATGTTGTCAGCCATCTTCGGACTATCGCTCGGGCTGCTGTTACCTGGGCACGGCGGAGGTAATGGGCTCGTCGCCCGCGAGACTCGTCTCGCCCGTGACACTCGCCTCGCCATCGTGTCGCGTCCACCGCCGGAGGGCTTCACTTGGGCCGACGAAGATATTGCATCCGCACCTGCTGCGCCTGCCGCCTCGGCTGCTGCACCTGCCGGCTCGGCTGGCCCGGTTTCGCCCGAGAGGGTCAATGTGCTGCAGGACGCATCTGCGGTCGCGGCGTCGGTTGCTGCGCGCGTCGAGTCTGCCGCGGAGGCCGCGATCGCGGAGCGTGGGCACTTTGCGCTCGCCATTCCGGGAGGGTCTGTGCTCAAGATGCTCCAGAGCTCGCCTTCGTTTGCAGACCGCACCACGTTGGCGTACGTAAACCACAAGGCGGTCCCGATGGACGACGCAAGCCTCGCGACGCACGCAAAGGCGGGCAAGCTGTTTCTCGACACATGGGCCGGCACAAACGCCATCGTGATGCGCGGGACGGCCGACGCGGCGGGAGAGGCGGAGGCGTACGAGGCTGCGCTGCGGGCGCTGTCGCCAGAGGTGCTTCCGCGCTCGCCGGACGGGCTCCCCGTCTTTGACATGATGCTGGTCGGCGTCGGCGACGATGGCCACGTCGGCCGGCTGCTTTAGATGCACACGGAAGACGCGTCCTCCCGCCCGACACAAGACCAAGCCCTCGAGACCTCATAGAGAGAGATACACGGGCACTCCAACCAGCACTCGAGGGCACGCGGATTCGACTGTACTCCACTCCACCGCAGCGCACCCACCCTCACTGCCCGGCATGCACGCCGCCGGCTCCCTCCACCAGAAATGGTGCGACCTGGTTGGTTCTCAGTCGCTGGTCCATCACTTGCCAATGGGTAGGATCCCTCTACCCGGGCCGCGACGAGGTTGCGGACGCGACTGGCCGGTGGGTGCTGCCGGTCGAGATGAAGGTTCCGGGAAGCATCACTCTCTCCCTGCCCGTCATGGCTGCGGCCAAGGAGGTCGTGAGACACACGCACGCACGCACCCACGCACCCACGCACCCACGCGCACCGGGCCTTGCACTTTCAATGCCGCGGGGCTCCTGCCTTCAGACGTCGAGTCGCGAGGGCTGCCCGGCGCTTGCCCCGCCACTTTGTGTGTGGAGAAGTCTTCCCTCACCCTCACCTTACCAGGTGGTGATTGCGGCGTGCGGCGTTTCCGACAAGTACCCAAAGGGCAAGTCGGCGGCGATGGCGCGCGGCATCGAGGGCGACGAGACGCCGCAGACTTTCCCGGCCGTCGGGCTGCGCGGCGTCGCCACGTGGGTCGTCGACGCCGCGGCGGCGAGCACGCTCTCCTTCGAGTACGCTGAGTGCTTCGCGCTCGCCTCCTCGCGCGGCGACTGCTGCCCACCCGCCTGAGGCGCGGCCGCGTCTAGCGGCGTGGCGCTGCGCGGCCGCCGCTGACTGTTCGACGCAAGTTACATACACCGAAAGGGGGTCTGTGTTTCCGGGTTCCTCCCTAGACGGCCGCTTTCGCAGAAATTACTGGCAACCAAAAATTATTCTTTTCTTCCGAGGGCGGTCGAGACAGTGCACGGAGCAAGTGCTGCCTCGCCGTCCTCGCAGGAGTCGCTTAGACCTTAGTTAGTCCTTAGAGGCGGCTCCCGTGCGCCGTGCGGTGTACCTGTGTTAGTGTGCCAGTGCGTGCCCGTCCCGTGCCTAGTGTCGTTGAGAGAGATTTTTAGCAATACCAAACAACTCACGAGAGAGAGTTTGCGTTGTAAAATTCTTTTCTTCAAAGGTGAAGAGTTGTGTTTGTCGCGTTGGTGGCAGCGTAGAGCAAGAAGAACTAATTTTACAACAAAACTCCCTCGCGCGACACTGGGCACGGGACTGGAGCGCACTCACAACACAGGTACAAGACAAAACAAATCTTTTTCTGGCTGAGAACGGTTGTCGGACAGCCTTGCTGCCTATGATGGGCTGCTCCACGAGCACCGACGAGTGGTGGTGCGTGTGGCTCAAACCATCCGCGTGCGATGAAGCCGACATCGCAGCGGACTGCGCCAGCACGTGCTGCCGTGCAGCAGCCGTCAACGCCACTCTCGATTCACTGGCCGACGATTTACTGTCCGTTTCAGTCGCGCTCGATACGGCCTGGAAGCTGCTTTGCGGAGTTCTTGTGATGCTCATGCAGCTCGGCTTCGCGATGCTCGAGGCTGGAACTGTCCGCGAGCACAACGTCATCGCAACCTACGCCAAGAATATCATTGACGTAATCCTTGGCACGCCGCTTTGTGGGGCTACTCCGTCGCCTACGGCGGCACGTGGCCGCTTGCTTGGGACGAAGACACCACCGCCGAGGACCACTACTCCTTCTTCGTCTTCCTCGCCTTCCAGTCCACCTGCGCGACAATCGTGTCCGGCGCGATGGCGGAGCGGACCGCGGTCGGAAGCTACCTCGTGCTCTCGTGCACGGTCCCCGGCGTGCGCTCGGACAATGATGAGTATGGGCTTGCATCCTCCATCGCTGGATCCTCCAGCTCTAGGTCTCCGGACTGCTGTACCCGCTGGCCGTCCAGTTTGCCTACTCCTCCCGCGGGTTCCTCCACAACCTCGAGCCGAGCTTCGTCGACTTTGCAGGCGGCGACACTCGCATCGCAATCAAACAAGCCGCACCACTTCTCCATGCCCATGACACGCCCATGACTGACACCATGGCACGCTCATGGCACGCCCATTGCACGCCCATGGCGTCGTCCACGCGCTAGGCGGCTGATTGATACTGATCAGATCATGGACTATTAGGCTCCGGCGTCGTCCACGCGCTGGGCGGCTGCGCGGCGCTGGTCGGTGCCGTCGCGGCCGGCCCGCGCACTGGCCGGTACGTGCAACCAGGCGCGGAGCTTCTGCAGCCGGGCTCTCCGAGGAAACATGCGTCGTGCATTGTGCCTTTCAGGTTCGACCCGAAGACTGTGGCAGACTTTTCGCCGCACAACGTGCCGCAGGCCCCACGCCTCTCCTGCTGCACCTCCATCCTCCCCAGACACCGTCCATGATGCACGCCCTCTGGGGCGGCACGCCAGGTGTTGAGCGGGACGATGCTGCTCTGGGTGGCCTGGTTCGCCTTCAACATGGGGAGCGGAGGTGCGTCGAGATACGGGGAGATGTGGGGAGATGTGGGGAGATATGGCCTCTCGCAGGGAGCCGCTCGCCACGCAAAGAGTTTCACCGGACCGCTCGGGGTGCGCCGAGGTGAGCCGAGATTGCACCCGAGATTAGGCGGAGATTGCACCCGAGTTTAGGCGGCCCTCTCGCAGGGAGGGGAGGCGCGGCCACGGCGGCGGGCGCGGCGACAGCGACCGCCCTCTCCTCTGCCTGCGCCGGCGTGGTCGGCGGGCTGCTTGCGCCGGCGCTGAGGCGGGACACGGCGTCGCGCTCCGCGTCTGCGCGCCGCCTCCTCTCGCGCTGCTGCGCGGCGGGAGGGCGGAGTGGCGAGCGCCTCCTCCTCTCCCCTCCCTCCTTCGACCTCCTCGCCTTCGCGAACGGCACCCGACCGCTCTTGCCCCCCCCCCCCCCCCCCACACCACCAACCGGGCCGATCTCGCCGCATCCTTGAGGTCTCCCCCGCGAGGCTATCCGAGGTTGCACCCGAGATAGGCATCCTCGGAGGGCTCGTCGGCATCACCGCCGGCTGCGCCTCCATCGACCTCGGCCTCGCCGCCGCCGTCGGAGTCGTGTCCGGTGCCGTCATCTCCTCCGCCTCCCTCCGAGGGACGAGCGAGATGATCCTCAGTCTCATGTACCCAGTCAACTGTACCGCAGGCGTCGTCTTCTCCTCCGCCTCCGAGGCGGCCGCTCGCTGGGGCGTCGACGACGTTGTCGACGCCTTCGCGGTGCGCGGAGCGTGCGGCGTGCGGGGCCTGCGGGACGGCGTCTCTTCACAGCCCGAGCTGCGGTGTGGGCAGGTGCACGGAGCGTGCGGTGTGTGGGGCCTCCTCGCTGTTGGCCTGTTTGACCGCGGCGCGCGCCGCTTCACCGCCTGCTCCTCGAGATCGGGCGAGATACGACGAGATGGCACCCGAGATTAGGCGGGGGGCTCCTCCCCACCGGCTCGGGTCGCTTGCTCGGCAGCCAGGCGCTCGGGGCCCTCGTGCTGGCCGCGCTCGGCTGTGGCGGCGCGGCGGCGGCGGCGGGCACACTGCGCTGGCTCGGCGAGCCGCGCGTGCTCGCGCGAGCAAGGGGGAGATTCCCCAAGATCAGCCGAGATCGCACCCGAGAGTAGGCGTGCTGCGCGTCTCGCGCGAGCAGGAGGAGAGCGGCCTCGACTCCGAGTTCGGCCTTAAGGCGTACAGCCGGAACACTGACGTGCTGCAGCGCTGCCGCACCGTCTCGGCGCTACTGAGCGAGAACGGCGTCTCCGCCCCTCGACACTCTTGGACGCCCGAATGGAAGAGAGAGCTCACGCGCAGTCCTTGCTCTGGTAGGCTTCTCCGCCCTCGACCTCTTCGACGCCCTCGTGTCGCTGCGCGGGGTCGTGTACCGCACCTTCACGCCGCAGGCGGCACACCACAAGCGCGAGGGCGAGATGACCCGAGATGACCCCGAGATTGCCCGAGATTAGGCGGCCGACCACAAGCTCGAGGGGGAGGTCAAGGGCCGTAGAAGCGGAATACGCATTCTTGTCTCCCAACTGGCGCTGAGGGCACGCTCAGCTGGTGTTCAGACGCATTCACGCGGTGGTCCAACTACTCTGCACAGTGCCGTCTTCCCGACCCGAGGCTGGTGTGTTCAGCACATAGGTCAAGGACATCCTGCAGCACCTCTCGTACGACTCGCTCGGCGGGCAGGACGGCCGGCCGCACCTCGCCTTCCTGAGCCACCACAAGGCGGACGCGGGCGACGCGGCGCGCATCTTCGTCGACACGGCGCTCTTTCCTAGACTTTTCCTAGACCTTTCCTGGAACCTTCCTGTAGGCGCGCATCTTCGTCGACACGGCGCGCCGGCTGCTCGCGAGCCAGCCCTTCCTCGAGTCGGCCGGGCTGGGGCCGAGGGCCGAGGAGGCGGTGCGGAGGGTCAAGCCGCAGGACTTGGTCTGGCTCGACTCGACGAATCTCAAGGAGCTGCCCACGCTGCTCGACGTGGTCGCGAGCAGCTGCAAACCACGCCAAGTGTGCTCTCGGTCACACGTGACTGCCGAGGTTGACTAGACGAGGCTGAAGCCCACCATAGGCAACCACATCCTCTTCCTCACCCGCGCCGCCCTCGAGCGGCCTTGGGTCCTCGCCGAGCTCGTCGCCGCTCACACGCTCGGCAAGTACGTCCGCCGCCTCCTCCTCCTCCTCGAGTGGCCGGGCTGTGAACGGCGTCTCTTCACGGCGGCACCCGTGAGCAGGTACGTCTGCCTCGTCCTCCTCGAGTGGCCGGGCGCAACAGAGGAGCGGCTGCGCGAGTTCCAGTTCCCGGCGGCGCTCGAGCGGACGATCCATGAGTGGGCGTGGTTCCTCTCCAAGGAGGCGCCCGCCCGGCACAAGCGCGACGGGGAGGGCGAGCTGCGCCGCCGCGTCACGACGGCAGCGTCCTCATGGCACACCTCGGCGAGTGCAGACTCGTCGCACCACATCCGCCGAACACCGTCGGAGGACGCTCGTTTCTCGCGCCAGCTGCCGCTCACGGCGATGTCGCTCGGGCCGGCGGGGCCACGGAGCGGGAAGGCGGCGAAGCGAGTGCCGCTGCCGAGCGTCGCCCTCCAGCGGCCCGAGTCGTACAAGGCGAGCGTCTCCTCGCTCGCGGAGGAGGAGGCCGATGCTTCGGCGGCGGACGGCGCATAGTCTATGTGCCATAGTGGGCGGCGGCTAGAGTCCGTGCGCCAGCGATGTCGCAGCTGGGTATTGTGCATGGGGTTTGCCCAAGCTCTATTGCAGCGCGGCGTGCCGCGCGGCGCTGGCAAAGAACATAAAGGCACTTGGAGCACTTGGAGTGCACGGCAGAGTCATCACAGCCTCTCTCACACCGTCACCCAAGGCCGGGGAGCTAAGTTACTGCTAAGAAGCGCACCCAGCGGGCCGGATGATCGGCGGAGGCGGCGCTGGGCCGTCGGCGTCGCGGGAGCCCGAGGATGAGGCAGCGGAGTCGCCTAAGCGACTTCTCCGCGAGTGAAAAAGAATGCTTCGCAACACGCTACACGGGCAGGAGCGGCGGCCTCCCTCGCACAACAGTCTCATGAGTCAAAACACTAGGCACGGGATTTCTAGCGCACTTTGCCATAATTATTGTGGCACTAACAGCGAAAAAGAATTTTACGTTGCGGCACACAGGCATGAACTAGTGCGAAAAAGAATCCGTTAACACGTAGTTGCTACGTACACGTATAATGCTAACACGTATCTGTTGTTACCATGTGGCTGTGGCGGCCTCCGGGCCTTGCGTCAAGGGCAAATAAGCCTCCTGTCCAATGTCCATTCAAGCTCAACGCGCCTTCACTATCGCGCGTCCTGCCACTCTCGAATCTGCCTTCGCAGCAGGTGATTAGGTACTAAGAAGCTGTGGTCGAGCTCCCCGCCCGTCAGAGGGCTCGTCTGCTTGGTCGCGAGCCAGCGCTCGATCGCCAACCGCTCGTACGACTGCCCGTCAGCCGCCATCACCGGGTCGCTCATCACCTCCGTCGTGATGGGGCACACAAACTGATCCGGCGGCTCCTCCTCGTTTGCAGGCGGCGACGGCTCCACCGACGACGACGTATATCCCTCCGGCGTGCGCTTTGCCTCAACCTCCAGCCTCGTATTCTCCTCGAGCGCCGCAGCCTGCTCCGCCTCCTCCGCCTTCAGCTCTGCCTCTGACCTCCTGGTGTCGCCTCTGACCACCGGGATAGCTGCCACCGCCTCGGCCGCCGCCGCGCTAGAAGCGGGAGAGGGCGGACTCACTCCCACGAGCTCCTGTCCCGCTACATCGCCTTCCCTCTCTCCCCCCCTCTCGGGCGCGTGAGGGCGCCCCTGATGGGGCTGGAGAAGCAGCCGCTTCCTGCTCAAACAACACCAGACGAGGGAAGTGCACAGGACCATGAGCAGGGCCACGATATTCCTTTTTTCAGTAGCAAACTGCTCCTTGATCAGCAGGGCCGTGATCTCGGCGTGGCCCTGCTCCTTGGCCAGCTGCAGCGCCGTCATGCCGCGTGCACTGCGCGCCGTCGCGTCCGCTCCCGCCAGCAGCAGCCGGAGTACGATCGCGGTGTTGCCGTGGTAGACGGCCCTCAATAGCGTGGTATAGCCGTTGCTGTTCTGCACATCGAGATCTGTTCCGCGCTGCACCAGCCACTCGACCACCTGCTGGTGGCCATTGCGAGCAGCGAGCATCAGTGCGGTGCCGCCAATGCTGTTCTGCAGGTTGATCGTCGCCCCGCGCCGGAGCAGCATTTCGACCACCCGCTCGTGGCCTTGGTGGGCGGCGCCCATCAGCAACGTGATGCCACTCACCGTGCCTCTGGTGTACGTCGCGTCGACCCGCCCGCCGCGATCAAGCCACGTTAGCACCGCCGCCTCATCGCCTCGCTCAGCCGCTGCCGCGGCCGCCGCCTCGCGCCGCGCCGCCGTCGCCTCCGACAAGACCTTTACGCACTCGGCCCTTCTCCTTGGCCAGCTGCAGCGCCGTCATGCCATCTGCCTCTCGCGCCGTCATATCCGCGCCGCCCGCAGCAAGCGCCGCACGACGGCGGGGCGGTTGAAGAGGGCGGCGCTCATCAGCGTGGTGTAGCCGTCGCTATCCTGCAGGTTGACATCAGCGCCGTGCCGCAGCAGCAAGTCGACCAACTGTTCGTGGCCTTGGTCGGCGCGAACATCAGCGCGGTGGAGCCGTCGTGGGCGGCGTACATCAGCGCGGTGAAGCCTTTGCTGTCCTGCAGGTTGACTTCAGCGCCGCGCCGTATCAGCAACTCGACCACCCGTTCATGGCCGTTGATGGCGGCGGCCATTAGCGCGGTGAGACCTTTGCTGTCCTGCTTGTTGATCTCCGCGCCGTGCCGCAGCAACAGCTCGACCACTCGCTCGTGGCCTCGGTGGGCGGCGGTCGTCAGCGCGGTGCCGCCTTCGCTGTTCTGCAGGTCGACCTCCGCGCTGCGCTGAAGCAGCAACTCGAATGTCCGCTCGTGGCCTTTGTCGGCGGCGTACATCAGCGCGGTGAAGCCTTTGCTGCCCTGCAGGTTGATCTCTGCCCCTCGCTGCTGCAGCAATTCGACCACCCGCTCGTCGCCTAGGTGGGCGGCGACCATCAGCGCGGTGCCGCCTTCGCTGTTCTGCAGGTCGACCTTCGCCCCACGCCGGAGCAGCATCTCGATCACCCGCTCGTGGCCTCGGCCGGCGGCACCCATCAGCAGCGTGATGCCGCTCAACTTGCCTCTGGTGTACGTCGCGTCGACCCGGCCGTCGCCGCCGTTGAGCCACGCTAGCACGACCGCCTCATCGCCTCGCTCAGCCGCTGCCACGACCTCATCGGAGAGCTTGCTTGACGCCCGCTCCGCCGCCGTTGACAAAGCCGAGGAAACGCTCGCCCCTGCTCGGCCCTCTGCCTCCGCCGCCGCGGCCACCGCCTCGCGCCGCGCAGCCGCCTCCGACAAGATCTTTACGCACTCGATGTGGCCCTTCTCCTTGGCCAACTGCAACGCCGTCATGCCGTTCTCAGAGCGCAGTGCCGTGTCCGCGCCCGCCCGCAGCAGGTGGAGGACGATGGCGGGGTAGTTGTTGTTGGCGGCGGCCATCAGCGCGGTGCCGATGCCGTTCTGCGTGTTGGGCTCCGCGCCGCGCTGCAGCAGCAGCTCAACCAGCCGCTCGTGGCCTTGGCTGGCGGCGCTCATCAGCGCGGTGACGCCGTCGCTATCCTGCAGGTTGATCTCCGCGCCGTGCCGAAGCACCAGCTCGACCACCCGCTCGTGGCCTTCCTGGGCGGCCCACATCAGCGCGGTGAAGCCTCTGCCGCTCTGCAGGTTGACCTCAGCGCCGTGCTGCAGCAGCGACTCGACCACCCGCTCGTGGCCGTTGTCGCGGCGATCATTAGCGCGGTGAAGCCGTCGCTAGTCTGCACGTTGATCTCCGCGTCGTGCTGCAGCAGCAGCTCGACCACCCGCTCGTGGCCGCTGCGGGCAGCGACCATCAGCGCGGTCCAGCGATCGTTGTCCTGCAATTCGACCTCCGCACCGTGCTGCATCAGCAACTCGACCACCCTCTCGTGGCCTTCGCTGGCGGCGTACATCAGCGCGTTTCAGCCTCCACTGTCCTGCTGGTTGGTCTCCGCGCCGCGCTGCAGCAGCATGTCGACCACCCGCTCGTGGTCTTGGTGGGCGGCGGTAATCAGCAACGTGATGCCTCTCTCGTATGTCGCGTCAAATCATCCGTCGCCGCCGTCGAGCCACGCTAGCACCGCCGTTGTAGCACCTCGTCTTGCAGCCTTTATTATGTTGGTCGGAACAAATCCGCTGCTGGTGCTGGCACCCGGCTCGCGCAACAACGCGCTGACGAGAAGCAAACGTATCCGCATTGACGGGCGCATTGCCTCGAAAGGCGCTTCCCCCGCAAACACGAGAGATAAAAAGACGTGCCGTCGTTGTTGAGTCGACCGACAGCAGCTACGCCGTTGTTAAAATGAACTCGGGGGCACGGGACGCCGCGACTGGAGTCGCACGCCTCTCGATGTTTCCCAATACAATCCTCCCTGAAAGAAAGAAAACAAAAAAGCAGGATGTCCCCACCTATCTTGTAACTTGTAGGGGCGCCTTTCTCCTCTTGATATGGCGTTGTACAAGCCGTCGCCCGCGCCTTGCCGCGCGCACGAAAATTCTTTTTCCCGAGGTGGGAATATCCTGTTCCTGGCGAGTACAGACCACGCCTCACTTTTTCACAGACCTTGTTATTGACAAGAAAATACGTCCTATGGCGCTTTGCGCTGGTCTTCACAGGAAGACGGATCTTCGCTGCACTTGTGCTGTGAATAATAGCAGGCGTGGCTGTACTCGCCAGATCCACCATGCGGCTCGCCGCGCTGCTACATGTGCTCCTGCCGGCGCGCGTCATCGCCTTTGCCACCCTGCGGCCGGCTCACGCGCCGTCGCCCGCCTGCCGCCCACGGCCACGCTCGCTGCCGCTCTGCTGGACGGGTGAGACGTCGGCGACGATCGAGATTGCGGGTGTGCCGGTCTCGCGGCTGTACGAGTCCTATGCCGACCTGCGCCGGATGACGGAGTGGTCGCCGCTCTTGGACAGCGTCTCGGTCGACCCGGACCGGCCGTCACGCTCGGTGTGGGTGATGACGGTGCCTCGGGCGCTCAAGGTGCCGGCGCG